CAGAACCTGGTAGTCCTGGAAGAATTACTTACTTAGCATTTATTGTTAGAGTTAAATGAGTGAGAACAAAAGCCAGATGACCCAAGATTAAGGCAAGTAATTATTCTGTGCCCTGCTGCTTTTACCAGACAATAGTGTTTCACATGGCATATTCGTAGATTGTGAGAAAGGTAGTCAGGGTGACCCTAACTGGGATTCTGGAAGTTAATCAGTGAGTTACAGCACACATAATGGAAAAATATAATACCAGTTGAAATAGTTGGCTTTGAACATTTTATAAAAAGACTCCTAATTTGGGATTCTTGATGCAGAGTGAATTGCAAGACATGTCCAAGATAACATAAGAACAGCCATACTTGGGCAGAGTAAGGGCCCATCTAAGCCAGTATTTTGTTTACACAGTGGACAATCCTCCACTGGAAACTCACAAGCAGGACATGAGTACAGCAGCTCCCTTCCATCCATATTCCCTAGTAACATAGTCATATTGCCTTTGATATTGAATGTAACATACAGCCATAAGGACAAGTTGCCATTGATAGTCTTCTGTTTCATGAATTTGCCCAATCCCTTTTAAAGACATCCAAGATGATGGCCATCATTACATCTTGTGGAAGTGAATTCCATTGTTTAACTATAAGATATGGGTAGGTATCCTGAGAAAGGAGTATATGGTGGGTCTGTGACTTCATAGCTTTTAAAAGGTTAGGTAATAGGATGGCAATAGGGGGTTTACATCTGTATAAATCTTAGGTCCTTAGATCTGTTGGGAGTTTTGACACTTCTTATTCATTACATTTCTGTATCTTCCAGATCCAAAGCTTTCAGGGTGGTTCATAACATTAAGTCACCCATTCAGATTTCAACCAGGCCTGACCCTGCTTAGCTTTCAGGATTAGATAGAACCAGGCACTTGAGGCTATATGGAAGCTATATACTTGTGTAAAACCTGTAGCATAAGCTAGATACTTAAGATACCTAGTGTGCCACAGCTAAATTTCAGTTAAGCCAATAAGTGGTTTTAAGAAAAAGCTCTTTGATAAACTTTCCCTGGGTTTGGGTTGTGTTCTTTGCTTGCAAACCTGAGTAGGTAATGGTGGCATTCTGTCATTTCTCAAACTACTTAAACTTTTGGTTTCCTTTGTGATTTGCTGGGTCCTGTGTCAACCATATATTTGATACCAGGGGGGTGTACCTCAGGAACTAAAATATGTTGAAGCATTGATACTAAAGAGTAAAGCAAAGCCTTCAGGTCAGGGTGTATGCATTGTGTAGCTTGCCTCCGGCAGTGGTCAGGTATTTTCATAATTCTTGCTGTTTGTCACTAGCATCTGATACTCAGAACTGGATTGTCTGAATATGAAGGCTAGCATTTGTCTTAGCACACCAAAATGGTTTATGTATTTGTCTATAATCTGTCATGTTACTATATATCTATCCTGCCTTTTTTCATGAAGCAGCTGCCATAATTCCTATTTCCATTTTATCTTCAGAACCTTGTTAAGTAGGCTATTCTGTGAGTCAGTAATTGCCCTAAAATCATCCACTGAGCTTTGTGGTGGAGCATGGGTGAGATTCCAGATCTCCCAAGTACCAGTCCAAAGTGCAAAACTATACACACTACCTCTCACTGTCGTCAACAAGGGAAGGACCTCCCCCCTTCCTGTGAGAATTATAACCGAGGGAATAACTATGGCAAGACATGAGCGGAGCTGGCTGGTGCCAGAGGTCAGACTAGATGGCCCAGGAGGCCCCTTCTGACTCATTCTGTTTCTATGTTTCTAATCTTGTCCTAACCTGAACATTATCTGATTGGTTGGAAGAAATTGGTGCTTTCATGATGGAATTACTTCCAAGAGAGAACTTGGTGCCTGAAGAGGTGATTTTGGCAAAGCTTTCCCTTCTATTCTCCCACAAGCTACATTGGTTTGTAACCACTCATGCTAGAACAGCAGGGATGATGGGAGGGAACTGTAGGCAGAGGGTGAATTGCCCTTCATTCTGCTGACAGAGGGATGCTTTTAGATAGTGTCATGAATAATCCCTTTAAGCTATCCTCCAAAATAGCTTTTGCAGGACCTTAAGGGCAGCCAATTTTAAATGTGAGCTGTATGGAAGAATGGTTCCTTCTGCCAGTTCTGAATCTGTGACCAATTAATTTCATTGATGAAAACTCTCTTATTATATCATGTTTGCACTCTTTTCTGCCTCCATCCCATACTTGTCTTTTCTAAGACAACCTGAAACTGTTCTAGTCTGCCCATGCATTCTTTTGGTCACTCTTTTCTATACTTTGATTTTATAATACCCTTTTTTTAAAGGTGATTCAATACAAATGTTCACATGAAGTATCCTTTATTTTAATGAAATCATATCAGTGGGGGTGCTTGAGAAGGGTAAAGCTATCTCCTAAGTAGTAAGAGACCTTGGTGTGTGGATCTCTGGCACTGATTGTTCCCCTTCCCTTGCTTTCATCAGCCACATTTTTGGAAATGGGGTGGGTGGGGTGCTGTATTGACCATGCTTGACACATTTTTGTTTAGCATGACTGAAGCACACCAGAAGAGACTGCAGCCTTGGCAAGAAACACCTGCAATATCAGAATCACACTTAGGGCACGATGGTATGCATATTTGGAGCATGCTGGCAGTTGTAGGACTTCTTTCTGTCTAAACATAAGATTGTAGCTTTAATTGCTACTAATATGTGAATAAAATCTGGCTTTTTGAATGTACTATGCTTCAGTAACTGCATCCAATGAAAGGAGTTCTCCATGAACAAATCCATTGCAATAAATGTATCAGTTTACAGATACTACATTACTTTCCTTTTTTTTAACTTTCTGTAGGTGCTCTTATTGTACATATAATTCACAGTATAATTTCAAATTAGAATGCAATCCTGTACATAGAACACAGTGAACAAATGGGCAAAAGATTGTACACGCACACACACACAAGTTTTATAGTATATAAAACTATAACTTGTGACATTTAGCCCACATGGGTATTTCTAGGTTCACATTTTTAATGCAGTATGTTTGTGATAGTGGATAAGAATACCCTCCAACATATTTTTTCAAGAATTTGCATAGGGAAAACATGAACTTAAATACTGCTAAATCAACATTTTCTTCCACCCACCCCACTTTTCTTACTTTATCTGTAAACTCAGTTACTTTAGGCAAAGAAACTAAAATACAGATAAGCAATTCTGGAAGAAGGAAATGATCATGAAATGTATGAATGGAAGTGAAATGGTCTAAGATAACCTAAGAAACTGAAACCTAAAGATTTGATTGACACAGGTGCAAAGTACTAGTAAGTTTTTAAATGCTGCATTCTTTTGTTTTACAATGAAGGGAGACACATTTAACCCAGCAGAAGTTATTTCTGAATAAACAGGCATAGGATTGAATAAAACTATATGGAATGATAGCAGATAAATTCTATGACTATTGCTAAACTTTCTCTGTTTCAGGGGCTGTACTACAACCTTAAACTACTTCGAGTATGGTTACTTTTCCAAACCTGTGTGGTCAAATAAAGGTGGTTGAAGGTATTCTTAAAAGTTGATAACCCAACTCTTGAGAAAATTGCAGGATATACAGTGTTTGTCAATTGTAGCTAAAATATCAGTCTGTCCAAAGTTCAATATCAGGCTGTCCAAATTTAAATTTGCTATAGTTTTTCTGTCATACTAGCTGAAACAATCCCAAAAGAATTTTTAATCTGCAGGTATGGATTTCAGGATTAAGAGAATATTGCAAAAGAAGTATGTTGCAGGAGCAGACACTATGTTTGTTTGTTTATAGCATTTTTATGCCGCCCCCATCGCAGAAAGCCTGTTCTATAGATGAGAACAGACTAGAAGAACACAAATAATGTTTTATATTTTTTTTTCTTGCTCTTTTTCTATGTTTAATGTGAAATACATAGGGATTTTAGTATAACAATATTGCAATTTTATATGCCCTTACCTGGGAGACGGTCCCACTGAACTCAATGAGACTTAATTGTAAATCGGTAAAGTGTACAACTGCACTGTAATTTGCAGTATGTAAGACGTATTATGTATAAATAGTACAGCAGTGAGAGGTAAACTAGATCACTGGTCAAGAATGGCTGGCTTTGAGCCTCAAAAACCTGAGGGTAATTAAGATTAACCTTCTAGCCATCGTGACTGGACATAGCTTAATAACAAAGATCGGTGACCATCTGCGATTTCCTGGCCAGACGGGGGCTGGTAACGATTTCTTGTATAATTTTTTTTTTTTACAAGTGACCGTGTTGGAGCTTTAAACATTGCAGTAGGATGCGAGATGGTCACTTAGACGGCTCCAGCTGTTCAGCCTGAGGCGACAGATCAACTCGTCAGCTTCTGCAGAGTCCACAAACTCACGGAGGGCGCAATTCTATGTAAACATAGACAGAATGCAAAGTTTGTAATTCCCAGCCTACGTGGCTAGGACATGCTGGTTGTTGTGGGCCTTTTTAACGTTTTCGTCCCGTCCAAAATTGCATAGGTTTGTTTCTTGAAGGACTTTAATTTTCTCCACATCCATTATTTTCCTTTTCCCGTATTGGTTGTTGTTTTTTTATATTGCAGGCCTCCGAGCGGGGACTGTTTCGTTTTAGGGTTTGTATGTGAGCCGCTCCGCGAACCTTGGGGCCCGAGACGCCAGATTTTCTTTCTAGGGTTAATTATGCAGTTAACTGATTATGTACAAATGGGGACATCAAATGCGGAGGAAAGCTACAGCCTCCATCAGGTGGATGAGCGATCTTTAGAAGAAAGTCGCTGGCCATCGCTGGATACGGGCACGGGATTAGGCGAGCCGACACGCTCCCCTCAGCGAGGCTGCCGGCCCTCCCCCGCCGGAATGGAAATACACGCAACTGGGCGGCGACATGTTCAAGATACGGAGGCCTCCCCACCATTAGGGGGCGGTAAGTCAAAGTCACCCTGTGCGGGCACCAAGAAGCCGGTTGAGCTCCTCCCGCCGTCCCTGGTGAATGAGGTGGCGGCGGCGACTAATCAAGGCGGCGGCGGCGGCGGCCCTCGCGCCTCCCTTAACGGTGCGCGCACGACGCCGGGATCCTCATGGCTTCTCGGAGCGAGGACGAGGCGGTGCTGTTCAGGCGCGGAACCGGGCAGGTACTGCGCTAGACGGGGCGTCTCGTAGGTGCTTGAAAGGGTTCCCTCTCCTTGCTCTCCTCTTCTGTGGAGACCGTTGTCGGGCTCGTCCGTGCGGCGGAGTTGTGTCTCTGCCCTCGGGCTGCTCGTATCTCTGACTCTCAGTCGAGCAGTTCTGAACAACAATTGTGAGGACGCGGCTGAGTTGAACTTGTGACGGGAGAGAAGACTTAGTTTGGGGAGTTTCATTTTATTTATAAAATGGAAGCAAGGGCTTGCATGAGGTAGTCTAATGCAGCCTGTGATGGAAGGAAGCTCACGAGGTACGCTGCGTGCAGAAGAGGACGTTTGGGCTTGGGTTTCGTGGACGAAAGCCCCCATTTGACCCACGGCACACCGTTCTTAGGAGTGACGGGACTTTGGAAGAGTATTAATGACACTGCAGGCAATTTGCTATTCGGCTTCCTATATACGCACACGTGCGTGCCTTTTGGGCACACCTCAGTACACTGGATCCATCCAGCCAATAATATATTCTAGGAAAAGGTAATAGTGATGTGTTCAAGAAGCCGAGATGGTTGTCTCTAACTCTAGATTTTAAGTTTTATTTAAGGAGAGAAAAAGGAAACCTGAGTTTTATTTTCTTCTTTCTCCACAGAGTGATGATTCTGATATATGGGATGATACAGCACTCATAAAAGCATATGATAAAGCAGTTGCATCTTTCAAGGTAAAGCTCACACTAGAGTTTTCCACCTACTATTAAAAATGTGAATGCAACACAGACTTGTATGGAGATCACTTTTTCTGATACTTGGTATAATTCCAGAAGTGGATAAAATAGAAGGAAGGGAAGAAATTTGTTTATTTTTCTTCAGTCAATGCCACTGTGTGTGGATAATTAGTGAAGCAGTGCTAGTTGAGCATCAAGCAGAAAATTCAAAAGTATTGTTACTAGAGCAGAAATGCAGTAACAAGGAAACTTCTCTTTTTCAATGTGTTAGAAGCACAGGAACCTGCCAGAAAAAAAGCTGTCTCCACTACGAAGTACACTCTGCATATGCTCAGTAGCATTTTTCTTTATTTATTTCTTTATTTTCTTTATTTAATGTTTTCTTTATTTAACGAAGCTGAATTCTATCAAGGGAAACAGGTCCAAGGCTAAAACCTGAATTTATCTACTGCTTGTGTAGTTTCCTGTGCACCTTCTGTCTAAGATCTTTCAAATGAAATATATTTAGAATACTAAATAGTATTCTGTTTAATTTGATATCATACCCAATCAACAATGGAGTCCACATTTCAATTATGTTATCTTTTTCATAATGTAAATAGTAGCAAGATTAATCTTGTTGATAAACTCTATTACTGACAATTCACAAAGAAGTTCCATGTATAGCTACTGAAAAATTAGCTCCACTTTATTAAATGGGGCTTCCTTGTAATTGCATAATTACAATTATGAGGATGCATAATTACAAGGAACCTTTATGCAACCTAACTTTTAAACACAATATCCCAAACTAACCAGACCTCAAAAGTCATAGTCCCCTTTTAGTGAAGATCACATCCTGGATTACTAAAATGTGAGCTAGTTGTACTGATTTTCCCTATGCACGCTCATGAGTGTAGTGAGCGACCCAAAGTGATGCAGCTTTGTCACCCAGGATTAATTAAGTTGCAAGTTCACCAAGCATTTCACTGATGAGCATTGTTAAAAGAATCCCATGTCTTTTAAAAGCATGCAGAGGTTTCTAAGGGCTGCAATGAGCAAATGTGTCATGTAGATGTGTATGATTGGTAGGGATCCTTGACGACTTACCAATTATCTGCTGAATGTACATATTTGTCAAAAATCGAATAGGCCATTAGTAATAGGCTAGGACATGGGATTATCTTATATATTGTAACAGGAACACATCTGACAAGGAAGCAGGAATGAAGGAAATATTTACATAAAGGTATAAAATAATGAAAATTGGTAATCACTGTTAAACATTTTGAAGTATATGTTTTAATCAAAGTATATCTGAGTAATATTCGATATTTAGTTATGGATTGATAGCTGTTTTCTTTACAGTTTTGTTTGGTAGAGGTGTATTAACCACCTGCAAAATTTGTTTTATAGGTATGTTACGACTTAGAAAAAGAATTCAGTGTATCTTTAGTTTGTCTACAAGTTACATTGTTATTTATTAACAGTAATAAAAATAAAATGATAGCTATAACTTGGGATTCAAGGAATGGAAACATTACAAATAATGTATTAATATCTTTTCTTAACAGAATGCTCTAAAAAATGGAGATTGCTCAGAGCCTTTGGATAAAACTGAACTAAATGCTGGGACAAAAAGGAAAAATAACAAAAAGAACAAAAGTAGGAAGAAAACTAATGCTGCGCAAAAGAAACAGGTCATTCTGGAGTGGGAGGAAGTGGTGACAGAATATATTGCTTAGATTTTTTTAATCATGTAATTAGGGTCCTATTTTTTGTCAGAGCAAGAATTGATCCCATGTACAAAATGAAGGAACAAGTGCTGAAATATTCAGGCAGTCAAGTTTCCATTCCGCATTAAGTCTTACAAGGAAATAGCCTGTAACTTACAAATACCTATATTTTGTCATGTGTTCATTTCTGTTATTCCAGTTCTTGAACTTAAAACTTCTACCAGAATTATGCATTTGCAGAAGCTGCTGGCACTTGGATCCTGTGTGATCAGGTGGTGCATTTGAAGAAATATTTCAAAAGAATCATAAAGAATAACATTTTAAAACTGATTGTAATTTTGAAAGTATTCTGATGTTTGATATCAGGGAAAATATCGGTGTCTTGGATTGGGTCTAGAAGTGAGTAAGCAACCAGTGCACTTCTTTTAAATTTGGTGCAAACCTGGCATTTGTACTTCAAATTCTAGTAGCTGATTTCTGCATTGACTGGAAGTTCATGCGGAATCTTGCAAAGACATCCCTGTGCATTTAACTTATCCACTCTGGAGGTAACCAGAACATGGATTACTGTTGCCAGAATATCTTGTTTTAGAATAGCTGCAGCTGCTAAACCAGCCAGAGCTGATAAAAGTGCTGTGTGTTCACTGAGGACAATTGGATCTTTACTGATATTTGATCAAGATGTACCCCAAGCTGCAGAATTACTTCTTCAGGAGGGTTATAATCCTATCCAGAACAAATAGCACACTAATTTCCCAACACATAAAAACATTGCCACAATGTCTCCATCTTTTCTGGATTTGGCTTCACTTTAGTGGTCCCTCATTGAGTCCATTACCACATCCAGTAAAATGTTAACTGTTCAAAATGTGTGCAGAATAAAAATGTTGCAACCATTATAGGCATTTACACAGGAGGGAAATTAGGTTTGTATAGGGAGGTAAGGAAGAATGTTTTTTCCAGAACACCACCGATGTAACTTGGTTTTTTCTTTTACTGTAGTGGAAAATTAATGATGCATGCAGTGCAGTTTGGTCTGAAGATGGTAATGTGTACCAAGCAACTATTACCTCAATTAACTGGAAGAAGGGGACTTGTGTAGTTGTCTATACTGGATATGGAAATAAGGAAGAGCAAAATCTGTTGGATCTTTTGCCACCGATGGATGCTGAGGGAACAAATGAAGAGAGAAGTGCTGCTGAGGTGAGGACAAAGTGTGTATCCAACTGAAATGGAAAAAAAGTTCTTGTGACCATGGTCGTGTAGAGTTAAGAGAAGTCTCATATATTCCGAGTCAACCTTTAAGATCATCCATAGAGGTCCTTCTTGGGGAACCCCTCCTAAAGAAATAAGAGGGACAAGCAACCAGGAGAAGAGCCTTTTCAGTAGTAGCACCCCAACCCCAGAGAAATATGCCTGGCACCATCCTTGCCTTCTTTTCAATGCCAGGTGGAAACCTTTTTATTTTCCAGTTATTTAAATAGTTTGGGTTATTTAATGTGAATATTTATTGAAGATATATAATTTTAATAATTGTAAACCAACCAGAGTGCCTATGGACTATGTATATAAATGTGATAAATAAATACATGTTTTTACTTTTTATACTTTTTATTAACATATGTGAAGTATGGAATTGCATCTATTTCTGAAAGGAGTGGATTTGCTTTTATGTCTCCTGTATATGCTTCATTTGAAGAATGCACTAATTCAGCTGTATCATACTGTTTGGAGTCTTGGTATATATATTACTCACTTTGGAGTTTTGGTATGATGGTATCTTTGATCCCAATTACTGCTCTTTCATTCCCTGAATATATACAGAGTATTCAGTGGCAAGCAGGTCAAATAATAAGAGAGCAGAATTTCTTTCTTGCTGACTGCCTTTGCATGGGATCTTAAATATCAAGCTAGTAGTTTGCCTGTTGTGCCATTAGTGGCAGTGTTTGTTGAAACAAAGGGGACTGTATATATTTGAAGTATGGCTTAGGGACAGCTCTATTATTTAAAAGCCACAAGGTAAAATTCTTAATGTTTAAAAAATCAAGGCAGGAAGAAGACAATAGATAAGTGACAATATAAACGGAACTAGTTAGAAGAGCAGATGTGTATGCAATGGGATGAGTTCTGCCCTTTGGTAGAAATAGGGAATGGGAAGATAAGTTGTGGAAAGTTTGAGTTCCTCATGAGTAAGTTAATGACCTTTAGATGTGTTTAAAAGAAGTTCACAAAAAAGGAACAGAGGAAATGTGTAATATATATGCATAAGGTTTCCTTAGCTGTATATTGTGAATATATAGAGGGATGGAATAAATTGAGTAGGATAATATAAACTGGTGTCCTACAAAAGCAGGGGGGTTGGATCAGTTCCTGGGTAAATTCTGTAAGTTCTATTCTACATGCTTATGGAATCAGCACAGACATTTTAATTTCCATTTGTTCAAAGACTGTTAAACCACTTTTAAACAAAGATTCATATGTATTTTCAGTGCCATGACGTGCAACAAACAAAACAACATTTGCTCCCTATCAAGGATTACTTTTCAGTTCTTACTGGTGCCCCTTCAGTTATTTCAGTTTGTGCCTTCTGCTTATTAGCATGAGAGATATCTCAATATCCTAACTAACCAGTGACTGTGAGGATACTGAACACTACTTTATTGCCCACTGTACAAGTCTGCAAGATACAGACCTTTGTTGAATAAAATCTGTATATTGCTTGCAGGCAGTGTTGCATATATTCTGACCCAAGCTGCAAAGTTTGCAGCTAAGTTTTATACTAATTTTCTCACTGCAAAGTTTTATACTAATTTTTTGGATAAGGATTGTTTTATTTGTACCCATGGAACACATGTGTGATTTTTGTTAGGTTATTGTAGTTATTATATTTCTACTATAATTTTATGGTCTTTAATGTCTTAAAGCTTTTTGTATTTGAAATTGGTCTACATTTTTACTATGGTTTCTCTTTTGTCAAATTTGTGATGGTCTATGTCTAGGAACAATAAAAACATACACAGAAACATTTTTGTTGTAAATATGGATTGAAAATATATCTTGCAAATTCCTTATTATGATTCATTTTGCAGAATGATAATGAGACTCAGTATTCAACAGATGAAAGTGATCTATCCTTCCAGTCTTCTGGAAGCAAACACAATCGTGGAAAATCAACACGCTGGAATTCTCCCTTTCCTCCTCCTCCACCACCACCAGTACCAGGAACAGGAAGGGTAAGCATGGATACAAGTCTGAAGGTTTTCATAGCATATGCTAATGCTCCAGCTATTTCAGAAGAACGGTATCTTTATTCTTTTCACTACAGGTGCCATTCTATCAACAGATTGAGGACCAGAGCTTTAAGACTAGTTAGGGGGAATAGCTGAAACACAGTAGTAGAGTACATGCTTTTTTTCAATTTCAACCCATTGCATCTCCAAGACTCCTGTCTGAAATTGTAATTGTTTCCTGCTAGTCAGTTGAGACAATACTAAGCTAAATGGGCCAGTGGTTTGACTTGCTTTAATGGAGCTTTCCATGCTCCTTTGGTGCCTAAAGAAGAGAAGAGGAAGCCTTGTATCACCATGCAGCATGGTAGATAGGCCCACACAGGTTACAGGCCTGCAGAAATTTTAGCCAGCCTGCTGGAGTCTATCAGAGGAGAAACTGTGGCACAGTTCTTAAGAGTGCGGAACTGAGACTCAGGTGATCTGGGTTCTAGTCTCCGCTCAGCTGTGGAGCCAGCTAGGTGACTTTGGGCCATTTCTCAGCCCAGCCTAGCTCACGGGGTCGTTATTGTGGGGATAAGACTGAGAGCAGGAGGAAGAAGAAAATGTAAGCTGCTTTGAGTCAGTTGTAAGGAAAAAGCAGGGTATAAATCAAAAAAATAAACAAGGAGCTCCATTATGTTTGAAGCAACCTGCTGCATTTCTATGCAGGGGAAAAGACTCTCCAGGTGCTTCTTTTGTTTTTTGTGCTGGGCAGAGAAAAGGGACAGAGTGCTTCTTGCTGTTTATGTCTACCAAATCACTGCTTTAATATGAGATTGCAATACTGCATATTTCAACTAAGTATAATCCAAGCGTGTGTTGTGTTTGACAACCAGTACACATGAAGGAAAAAAATTGAGAAAGAATGTGGTGGCCCTTGAACTTCCATTCCTCATTCAGATTTCACAATAGCCTTCTTTAGGCATTCAGTTTGTCTTAAGTCTGGGGAGTGAAGAGGGCACATGTTCCCTCATAACCCTCCATGAATGCCCAGAAAGTGCTGTTTTCCTGTGTAATACAAAGCAGAGGGGACTGCACAAGTTCTTCTTATGGGCCTTGTGAAGGGGCACAAGTCTCTTGGTTTATCTTGCATACTAATTTTTGCAGCTGTTGCTATAATGTATTTCTTTTATTGCATTTTAAACAACACCAATATAGACTGGAATGAAATTCAGTGGACCTCCACCTTTCTTATCAGGCTGGCCTCCACCATTTCCATCAGGACCACCGGTGAGTGATAGATAAAAATAGTGGTAAAAAATGCATATTCTAGTTGTCACAAACAGGGTAGCTGGTCACCCATTCTCTGGACTGTACCATTGGAGACTGTGCCTGGAAAGTTAATATGCAATGTTACCTTGTAAGTTTAAGTACCCCTAAGAATTGTTTGAAATATCTATAGTGACCATTATTGATAATTGCTAAGCTGTGCAACAAACTGGTATCCCAGTACTGCACAGAATCTTAAATCTCAGCTTGTTTCTTTGAAAGTATCTGCTTCTTTTAACTGATTAAAATGTAACTAGCATGTGAGCTTATTTTTATTCTTTCAAATAAAAGAATCTGTTCTTTCTTACTAAACTTTCTAAGAATTAAAACCAGCGAGTTCAGATCAAACTTATTTTTTTTCTTTTCCTAGTTGATACCACCTCCTCCATTTTTTAGCTCAGACTCCCTTAATGATGATGATGAAGCATTGGGAAGTATGTTGATAGCCTGGTATATGAGTGGCTATCACACAGGCTACTATCTGGTAAGAGATGTGCCCTTTACCAAAAGGCAAGAGTTGCATTATAGTTAGGTAGATTAGGACTCAGGAGACTCAGGTTCTGGTCTCTTCATGGCCAGAAGACTCACTAGATGAATTTTGTTGAACCACTGACTCCTAGCCTAACTTGTCTTACAAAGTTATGAAAATAATATGGAGAGGAGACACTGTGAAGATGCAATAGAAGTAGGAAAATACTGACATTTTGCCACTTTTATCACCACGGAATAGACCCTGTAATGGCTGTAAACCGTGTTCATGATTCATCTCATGAGCTCCACCTGTGTTCTAGCCATCTCCCCTCTTGCTTCAAAGAGTGTGTAGGAGCGATTGTGTCAATTGTCAAGTCATTTCCACATTCCACAGAGCAAGTTGGGCTTTGACACAAGTGCCAGCCATGTCAGATGGATACTTCCCCAGAGACTGTTGGAAACACCCCAGATCCATCAGTCTCTGCAGGTTACCATCTTAATAGGTCCCCCTATTAATAGGTCCGCCTATGGCAGAGGGGGAAATGGGCCAACATTCTAAACCTCATCAGAAAGTGGTCAGACCATGAAAACAGGATTAATGTTAATCCCTCCACATCTGATCCACCATCTTCCGGATCTGTCAAAAAGACCATGTCCAGAATGTGTCCTGTGTGATGCATTGGGCCAGTCACATGGTTTTTAACCCTAGCCCTTGCCCTTCCAATTCCTTTGAGTATCGAGTACCATCTGTTAAGACACAGTGATTTCATCACCTCAATGAACTTTAAACAGTTTAGAGAATCAGGCTTGATTTGTTCAGTCCCAGATAACAATTTGGTCTTCATTTGCCTTTCTGTATCCTCTTTTGTGCAGGGTTTAAAGCAAAGCCGAATGGAAGCTGCCTTGCGAAGACATACCCACTCAAAGTAGCTGGTGTGAGTACTGCATTTAGTTTTTGCTTTAACTTGCAGTAGAGGGAAAGCTGTATTTATTTCATCTTGAAGGTGTATATAATCACAAGGCTCTTCATTTTGCTTGTGAGAAAACAGGAATAACATGACTCATTGTGTTTTCTTGGTGGCTTATGGAAAATAATAGCATCACATAAATGAGTCCAAGCTTGCTACACAGTAGCTTTTACTAGCAAAAACACTTTTGCGTAGAAAAGGAATGGGTGACCACACATCAGATTTTCCACTTATTAGTGAGACATATAAAGTTTTAGGTGGAACATTAGCTTAAGTGCTCTGAGCTATAGCTGAGTCTCCTACTGGGGAGAGTGCTTTGAGCACAGAAAGAACCATGCCAGCTGTCTCTGAGCTCTGTGCTGCCCTGACATGAAGTATGCTAGCAGTGCCTAAGCCTCTTTCCCTCATGCTCCAAGGTAAGACAGATTGCTAAAACAACCATGTCAGTGTTTTGCAGGATAGGGGGAACATGGAAGCAACCTTCACCTCCACACTCTTTTTGCACTGCAAGTATGTCTGTACTCATCCAAATTCAGAGGGTTATGAGCATCCTCATTTGACTGCACCCTTAATAGCCTTATCATAAATAGTTCTGCTAAAATGAATTAACTGTATTAGAACATCTCTTGAGAGTAATATTTAAAAATGTCTCCTACAGCAAGGGACAACTCCCGTCTACATTGGTCAGCAAAGAAACTTTCATGGCTACCAAGATTACTGAATGGATAACCCAGAAAAGGAGGCACCACTTACACCATTGGTCAGCAACGTTATTTCACAGCTTAGGCGGCCACTAAATGGATAACCATCTGGTGATCATGTCTTCATAGTAATTAGGTGCTTGTTCTGGATTAAATGAACTATTCATGTTGTGCATTCTGAGGATTTAGGCTAACCTTGATTCTTAAAAGTGAACTTCCAAGATGTAGCTTATCTTCACTTTTGGTTCTACAGTGACACTATGCTGATGAAAATTACTTGCTAGCTGCATGTAGCAGTGGTGACCTGAACAGAAAGTGCACAGATGTTTGTCTAAAGGCCTGAGTTGGACCACTGGTGTTAAGTTGAAAGAGACATTACTTATCAGTTCGGCTGCACAGATGGTTTAAAATACTGCTCAATAAAAGTAATTTTTTCAATTTGATTTTCTATTTTTTTCTAGGAAACATTACAAAATATCTAAAATTGTAAAATATTATGTCTTATATTTGTGATGACAAAATTATATCCTTCTAAGATAATTGATCTTTTATTTGATATAATGAGCATTTGAAACATTTAAATGTTTCAACACATAGGCACATCAGAACCATTTTGGTAACTGAAAATCTGATCAATCTTAGTTTTTTCTGTTTTTTCCTAAGAGCTTAGCAGTAAAAGTACACTAATGCAGAATAAAATAATGGGACTGAATCCCAAGAAAAAATATAGAAGAGGGTGGGCAGAAAGTGACTTCCGCCCCCTGTAGCCCCCGCAAAACATCATCTTAGTTGTTGAGAACTTTCCTAATTGAGGAAAGGGGGTAGTTACAAAATCAGGCAGAAGCTCACCTGTTCTTTTCTGCAATCTTTTCTCGAACTCCTGCTTTTCAGTACCTGATCTTCTATTAAACGGACTTTGAGCTTAAAATAACAAGATTTATATGTAAAAACTTACATTAAACTTATAGTTACCCTTCCCTTATTCCTAATAGTTTGAAGTTTAGCTTTTGAATTCTTTTCTCCTTTTCTCTTTTTCCTAACAAATCAAGGTTTTCCCCATTATACTTCCATACCTAATAATACTGGATCAAGGCTTATACACTGGGAATGCTTGGTGAGAAATTGCACTTTTCCTGACAAGCAATTATCTGTTCATAGATATATAAAAGTACAAAACATAGTACACTGACAAATTACTGTGATTGTGCTAGATTCATCTAAAAGTTGTTGCATAAAATCATAATAAGATTAAATATTTTGTAAAGAATTTGTAATACCTTGGTTTAACAAGATAAATGTTATATTTTAATTGTCTAAACCACTGGCTAAAAATTATGGTAACTAAAAAATCTGCCCATTTTTTAAAGCGGGACTACATCCTTCGGTGGATGCAGAGAGAAGTCCACTATCAAGCCTGAGAAAAGAGCTTAGGGCACAGTCCTATCAGGATGTTCATAAGCCCCTGAACTCAAGATGCTCACAGACATCCAATCCAGAATGGGAGGAGCAACAGAAGTGATCTTGAGCTTCTTGACCTCCCATCTTGCATTTCTCTTAGACAGGTGTTTTTTGCCTATTTAGCTGGAAAATCTTGGAGGGAGATGGAGGGAAATTAGCCTCACTGGTCTCATCCACTCTATGCTTACCAAAATGCCCATTTTACCCCCTCTGAGGTGGCTTTCTTAATTTCATAGAGCAGATTGTACAGTCCTTTGTGCACTGATTCCCATTTCTGAGGTTAGAGTACAATCTCTAAATCTTGTATTTGGGAATATGTAAAATCTTGTGGCCCCCTCAGACATTGTGTAGGGGCCATGGGATTTTCCTCATAGTTTTTGTACATTCAGACTCTCATACTCATTTAAGCAAGTAATAATGTTCACATACTGCATTTTCTAACAAACAGAAAGAGGTGTAGTTTATAACAAGTGTATGCACCCTGTGCTCTGATTAAAATGCTCCTTAGTAGGCCTTTTCGTCCTTAACCACCCAGAATATAAGTGTTTGGAAATTACTCCTGTCGCTGTGTTTCTTGAAAAAATAATGCAGAGCCAGAACTGTTATTTGGTGCTTTATCAACGAAAAGCCGCACTTCCTGGCACCTGATGCGCTCGGTCCTAGTGGGTTTTTTGTTGTTGATTTGGCAAGCTCAGAATATTGTCTCTGATGTGTCTGCACACTCCATGAAGGCAAGATGTGAAAGAAGTCAGATTTATTTGTGACCACAACATGCAACCTGTGCTTGTCACCCATGCTGCTGTTGTCACTGCCTCAGTTTGACTTGCTGTATAACTCTAATATTCCATTGGCATAATGCCAGGAGTTCTTCAGGTATACCTTGTCATTATGGCAGCATATCTCAAGTTCCAGCAAGACAACAGAGCTTCTGTCATGTTCATTTGACAGTGTGTTCCTTAGTTTCATGTTTCAGTACTATTTTAAAAAATTGTCTGTTCTATAAGCTACATTGCAATTAACTTCCTACTCTGTTGACAGTATTGACCTTGTTCAATGACTTTATTGGCTGTGGTCCATCAGTGCCAGTGGGCATAACAAAGATGGGAAAAGTGGCATTGACCCAGGCAGTGATTTAAAAAGAAAAATCACAATCTTAAAAATATATAATCTTTAATTTGCACTGAAGTGCTCCTTCATTCATATGTATTACTACATCATTGTGCATGAAATATAAAGCCCTCCCCCTCCCTAAGTTTAATGTTTGCTATGGAACAGAAGTGCTTCATTTCAGGGTGGATGCGAAATACTTCTAAAATGGCAGTGAAATGGAAAGACAGATACTTTAAATGATTTATTTAGTATTAGAATTTTCTTCCATTTAAGCATGCAGAGATTTGAATTTTAAAAATAGAGCAACAAAAACATGCTTGCCATAATTAAAATAGATAAGATAGTTAAGCAAAAGGCATTCACTAGAAGTCTATAGTAAGGAGTGATAAACAGTGATAGGCTCACCTGCCCATTACGTTAGACATGAAGAAACCACACCTCTTGGAAAGATGGTGGTATAGCAGTAAAAAGTGTCCACACCTCTAATAATTGCATTATTGCTCTAACAATTACTGTTCTGCTTTTCTTCAAAAAGTCATATTTTCTAAAAAAAAAAAAATGCAGTGGGAAGCACAGGAAAACAATGCCTCCATCATGATAATTATGTGGATTTGCTCTGCAAAAGGAGTCCATAAACTGGCAATTCCAATAATTGAATATTTTAACTAATGTTTACATAGTTAAACCCATTACTTTTCTATTCATTTATAATTGGTGAAACTGGCCACGTCCATTTCCACGTCAGTTCTAATCTATTTGACTGGGGATGATGTTTCTTCATGATATCAAACATTTTTAGGTCTTCCTCATCAAACAACCAGCCTATCATGCTAATTATGCTGAGGCTGGGCAGTCTGGAGACACACTGGACAAAAGACTTCACAGTTGCTGCTTGACATTTGATTTGATGGGTGAAAATGCGAAAGAAGTCCACCTTGTGCAACTTCGGCATATTAGACAGTATTTGAAAGAAATTTCTCCAAGCTTCTTCTGTAATGTTGTGATTTGTCCGGAGGAGCAGGAATTCAAGGTTTTGGAAACCTCCATCATCTGCTATTTTTGCTATACAAAAAATACAATACATAGGTGAATAATTAAGGAAAATTATTTTGGATTGCAATTACTATCATTAGCAACAAATGCATTGTAAGGGAAATTATCCTATTTGCAAAGTCAGCATAAGCTGTTGTTATATTTTAGAAGAGATACTCCTAGTTTTCAGATAGCACTGTTTTGCAAGCACTAGCAACAAGTATATTGTTTCACATATTTATAATGGTTTTAAAAGAATATGCGTAAGAACATTCACTTTGGTTTAATATACGTAACACTCATTATTGCTTTGATCTTACTGAGATAGGATCTGTTGAACCAGGAGCAGCTGGTAGCTGTGGTACTGAATAACACACTTAGCTTGCAATTAACTGCATAGAGAGAGGATAGTTGGGTTGACAGTTGCTGACAATCATCATGCAAATGCATTACCTTCTTCATAACAACACAGAAAATTAATTCTGTTTGGTGATATGAATGGGGTGAATTTCCATCATGAGCCAGTAACTCTGGACCAATTACAGAAATTGTGCTGACACACAGAGTGAGAAAATGGGTCTGGTATACATGCTGGAGCCAATGAGAGAACTGAGTTAGGAAACAGACCACAAAAGGTTGCAGAGCTGTCTGCTGAGTTAGTGAAGAAACTACCAACGAATGGTGGTTAATTCTCAGGGTGGTTTGGCATGACATGCAAACCAGCCCAGTAACTGAGATCAGAGGATGGACTATGCTTATAGAAAAAAAAGAGTCATGAATTTTTTTTGCAAAGATCAAACTGGAAAGGTCATGGGGAAAGATCTGATCTAAATAGTATATGCAATGGTTAATTACATTAAAGCAGAATTTATCTGAAAGCACATGTTTGTTATCTAGCATGATTACCTCTTGATGTACACATGATACTCATCTTTTAATATTTATTGAACCAAATTTCTGAAGTTTACACGGCGCAGTTATTTATTAGTGTCAAAAGGCAAGGCCAGACCAACTATAAGATACAGTTGCTGAATTATGTAAAGTAGTGATACAGCTGTGACTAGCACCATCAACCTGAAGCAAGGTTATCTCAAGATTTATTTTCAAAAGACTCACCTATTTCCAGCAGAGCCTCATCATTTAAACACTCATTGAGCTCCAACTTTCGAAGGTTTGGAAAATGGGAGCATTGCTGAACAATCAGTTTAGATTTATGACTTATTCCTTCCCCAATAGTTAGAGAAAGCTCCTCCAAATTCACAAGAGAATTCAAAGCCTCTGCTGAAAAGTAGAAATAGAAGGATTTGGAAACACTATTTACAGCATAATCCTATACATGTCTCCTCAACTGTAACTCACTTGAAGCAATAGGACATATTAAGTAATAAGATTGAAGAAGCCTGTGTTCATCTTCACAGTCACATTGCATTACATATAAGGAGTCTGTGCTTTCATGAAGCCTCCTTCAGGAAATGTATATATCTAAGGAACGTTTGGTGGGAACCCAACTAAAGCAGGCAGTGATCTAAACTGCACAGCACAACAATTCACTGTGGGTCAATTTACTCATGAGGATTCTCATATTGTGCCGGGCATCCAGCTTGTCATGAGCTGTTGTGTAGTGTGAGCCCAGGTGGCAACCTTCAAACAACCACCTGGGTTCACCAAAGACAAAAACTGTTCTCTCAGGCACCAAGCAAATTGGATGCTCATGGGTGCCTGGCATGATGCGGCAGTCCCTGAAGGTGAATTATCCACCAGTAAGCTGTTGGAAGGTGCAAGCAGCTATGAAGTAACTAGGAAAAAGGAAAACCAAGAATAGCACTCCCTAGGGTACAATCCTGAGTATGTTTAAACAGAAAAGTCCTATAACTCCCAGCATTCTCTAGCATGCTGGGAATTGTAGGACTTGTTTTCTATTTGAACATACATATGCTTGCACCCACACGTCTTGGAAGCCTCCACATTCTGAGGCCTTTAAGATTTCTATGCCAATCTCAGAAAGGCAGGCAGTGTGGTTCTCTCCAAGCCAGCTGCAGGGAGTCTCTTAACTCCCCATTCAAAGCTTGGAGTGTTTACCATGCTCTGAACGATTCTAGGAGCAATCCTATGGTGCCTCAGACACTCACCCAGGGATCACAGCATTGCTCTTTCTGTGGCTTTCTGTGGGTTTTATGAAATGGCTGTTGCTTATGTCAACACACATTTTTTGAAAGCTCCAGGGCAATACCTGTTATGATGACTTTAAAATCCCAGTCAACTTCACATATTCCCCACCCCAAGTCAGCTCACACCAAAATTCAAAACTGTTTATAAAGACTGAGAGAGTAAACCATACCAAATGCTATACAGGCTTCCTTGTTAATGAAATTTAATCTTTCAAGATCCAGGACCTTTAGCCCAGTAAGATTTGGCAAAGCAGCAGCTGCAACAGAAATAAATAGGATTATATATCACTTTTTGCAATGCTGAATGCTCCAGGTCACTTTTTATTCCCTTGCTGACTCATCTCTGTTTCTCTTCCTGATTTAATTCTGTATTCATTTAATTTTCTTATCTATTTTAAATGTATATCCCTCTGAGAAATTTTTAGAAACTTTAAGCAGCTTCAGAAGGATTCTTGTTAAAATCACTGATCAAGTAAACCTTTGGTTCTTGTTACATTAAAGGGAAACTGGAATATTTATGGCAGCCTCCTATTATATTAGGTGAACAGTCCATTTTTTTGTGAATGAAGTAACTAAGATCTCCAAATGTGAGCCAAGAGCGCCTTTCACTACGGTTGTAGGCCCCACTGTGTGCCTGCACTGGTTGCTCTACTCAAGTTGGCCCATAAGTCGAGAAAGCAGGTTATGTTTTTTGGTAGGTAGAAACCAGCAACATTGTTTTGAGCTGAGTGTGTATAGGGAGTTATACCACGGGTATATTTCTGCTCCTGTGTACTGTAGCATGTAAATATAAATAATATCAAGACTGGATGTATGCCAAGTGCCACAAGGAGAGGCTCCCACGCCATGGGGTGATGCCACAAGGACAGGTTCTCAGGCCAAGGGAGCTGTTGGCTAAGTGGGTTTCAGGAGGAGTGACCTGATGATCTGCGCTAGCCATAGTGAATGAGGTAAGGAGTGAATGCTGAGTAATGATGGATGGCCCTTTTATAGCAAAAAGGTCAAGCATGAGAGTGCTTTTAAAAGTATATGCTCATAATTTTTATCTGACCACCATGATCCCTCAACGAAACCAAACATCAGTGCAAAGCACCTGAAGAGATTTCCCCATAATATTAGGCAAAACAACTCTGCAAATATGACTATCCTTGTCTCAAGTCAGCGCAGTAAACAACCAGGAGGTAAATGGAAAAGGTCACCAGTTACTTGGAAATTATCCCATCAATAGCAGTCAGCAAACACAAACACATTTTACCCATAGAAAACTGATGTGGTCACATATTGGACAGCAATAGTTAAGGTCATCAAGAGCAAATAATCTTGTATCATGTAATTAGCATATGTCTGAGAAACCATGGGAGCCTTCCCATTCCCATAGGAGCGTGTCCAAGGAAAAGAGTAAAAGAACTAGGGACTTAAAAATGGTAGTGCACAAGCTTAAAACACTGTCCTGGCAACCCAGCCTGGAACTTGGAATAATACTTACACCCTTCCTACCCATGCAAGGGACTGATGTTGAGCATCTACTGCACAGGACAACTGACAGACCGGGAATAGCCTTGGATCCCTGCTCTTCTGTTAGCTGCTCCCTATCCATAGGGTATTGGCTGGGAGGTTATTCAGCTCTTAAGAATATTGAGTAAGATTGCAATGCAATAAGAATATTTGCTGCCTAGAAACACGGGGCTAAGAGTTTTGTACCTGCTCTGTATTTTCTTCTGAATAAACTTTTCTTTGCTACTAAGTGTATTGTATGTCTGTCTGAATGTAAAGCCAGGGTGTGTGCCACTTGGGCAGTGTGACCCAAACCACTGCAAAAGATCCCAAACCTTCTGAGGTTTCTGGGAAAGCATCCCAGTACTCTCTTGAATAGTCTCCCAAATGTATTTCAATGTATTTATTTTTTTCAGCTGGTTTCACATTTATTTTTGTATTTTATTTTCAGTGTTACATGTAACAGCTCAAGGATCTTAGGACACTAAGTAGTACACAAATAGTTTAAAATAAATTAAATGATACTAAAATAAAATGAGATGGTGAGGTGAGGTGAGGTGAGGTGAGGTGACCAGGCTATCCTAGAATGCTCTATATATGGCAACCTTACCCTAGCCAGCCTCCATTATGTCTTTATGGAAAATTGTTCATTTCTTTTATTTGGAAAAGCTCTAAATCCAGAGATGCCTGAAGCAAGTGTAATCTCTTGGATTATAAAAGGGTTTGCAGTACCTGCTTTCTAGCAAGTCTTTTATGGCATCATTGCCCTTTCTCATTTGTGGAAGTTTACAGGGGGTCCGGACAATAGCATTTTTAATGGAGATTCTCTTCACAGTTATCATACAGCTTATTCTGCATTTTTCCATAATGCAGAAAACAAATTAAGGAGAAAAAGACAGAATGGGCTGCACAATGCTTTCTGATTGCTCGCACCAGGAGGCCTGTGCCTGGAAGCATCGGGAACCAAGTAGAACAACTTTGCATGTACAGCTTTCCTGACATCCAACATTGGTCTGTACCTGAAATACAGTGTGGCATAAACAGAGAGGAAGAAGAAACTGGATATAGCATCTAAAGATGTTTCAAGGCAAGAAATAAATGCCTTATTGCTGTGGTATGTTTTAAACTGTAGATTCTTAAAAAACAAAGTATCACTTTTTTACTGAGTAAAAATATAATCAATAATTGGTATTTTAAAAGTTGCTTATTACCAAGGGAAAACAGGTCTTCATCCCCAAACGGCAATCCAGTGAGTTGTATTTCTGTTAGCATCTTGCAAGAGGACAATGCTTCCATAAGAGCCCCCAAAGCAGAAAAGTCTGAATTTTTTAGATGAAAAACTGAGAGATTCTGAAAGTTCTGTATAAATTCAACTGCAAAAGGGAAGATAATTTACAATGAGAAGATTACAGTCACTGATAACATGCATAGGTGTACACATGAACAACATGAATAATCCATTTTATCTAAGCAAATGCTCTAAGCATTCTGTGCTCCCAACTCAATCATATTTTATTTTGAACAGTTTGCAGCTTCTGTAGTGAACTTCATATTAGAATTTGGAGATAAGAAAGGAAGTCATTTGGTCAGTGACAAGAAGCCATTCCACATGTAATGAAAGAAAGGTGATTTCAGGACATAAAACATAATAAGAGAGTGTAGGCGTTCATCAGAATTCTCCTGCAGAGATTCACCTTCAGTAAATAGAAACAGTCCTCCAGTGAGAAAGGTCTGCATGCATGGGGTGATGCCTTCCCCCCAAAATACTGACCGCTGCTTCTGTGTTACCCATTTAACCAAATGTGTAATTGAGCTTCATAAATCACAGCAGCTTAATTGGACAGTTACAGTTGATAAATGTTCACATTTAAAGGGAATTTTTTAAATGTTAAACATACAGGTTGCTTTAAAATAATTTTTAAACACCCTCAGTGTCCAAAACAGCAATCTGAAGCCTTTAAGCTCACCAGGAAGGAAAAGGTGATTTTCCATTTGGCATGGCTGAGACCAGTATGTAAAAGCCTTGCCAGGAAAAGTAGAAACAAAATCTACTTATACCCTGAAAAATGCTCTCGATGTCCTGTTTATTCCTCCAAATCTATTATTCTCAAGTTGGCCACATACATGTGTATCCCTGTTGCAGCACGCACAAATCAAGATGAAACTGGGAAAAGTATAAACCAAAAGAAGTACACGTATTGGACATGGGACAAGGTGCACATTCATAAATTTTTTTAAGTGTGCTTAAACTGACCTCTTATTTTGAAGGAAAAGTGGCCATGGATCTGGAATGTGCTCCCACTCCAGACTGGGGGTCCACACTGGGCCCCTGCCAAAAGTTACCTTTTTAGCTTTTACTTAATCCCGAAAGTGCAAATTTGCTGTATATGTTGACATACGAAATATGCCACAGTAAAATCTTTTAACTGAATGAAACTTCATTCAAGAATATTGTATTGAGCAACAAGATATACAAAGGAAAGATTCAGATGTCGCCATTTCTTATGCTAAGAAAATGGAGCATGTTCCTTCAGTGAATATTGGTTTCTGAACAAGTTTGTACAGGATTGCAAATTGAACTGAAGAACAGAAGTGCTTTGGTCTTCTTAATTGAATTTGGATTTACACTGCAATCCTAAACATGCTTACACAGAAAAATTCCTACTGAGCTGCCTAATAATTATGTTCAAGATTGCTGCATAAGTCATATAAAAACCAGTAAAACAAATTAGTCATGGCTAAGTTAAATTCTATTGCTTTAAGTGGGACTTAGTAATAGCCAAATTTAGCCGGATTGCATGTTCCTGGGGTATGATATCATTTAAGTATGCTTAAATCCCTCTAAAACCAGTTGGACATGCAAAAAATCCTATGTATATTTAGTGACATAAAAATAAGTGGGTACTAGGTGAAATCAAAGCACAACTTTCCAAAGAAGCAAAAATGGCAAAACTGAGACTATCACAGTTTGGACAGATCATGAGAAGGCAGGACTCCCTGGAGAAAGTTGAAGGCAGAAGAAGAAAAAGACAACCAGATAAGGGGTGGGTTGACTCCATAAAGGAAACTATTGCTTTGAATTTAGAACAGCTAAGCAAGGATGTACAGTACACATTTGCAAATGCGTTGGAAAAAAGTTGATTGAATTCCATGGTGCTTACTTCTGAGTAGACATGTTTACGCAGTTACATTTATCAGAATTATATCCTATATTTACCTAGTCTGGGACAACTGCTTTTAAATTGAACATTGTAGATTAGCAATTTCTCTATTTTGTGAAGATTTTTGAAGTCTTCTGGGATTATGTCAAATATAAATTGAGCATCACATAGATCCACTATCAGTTCCTTCAAGAATGCATATTTGTCCAAATTTACAAAGAGGGTTTCTGAAATATACAAGGTAAACAGTTAAGTAGACAGTACTGGTCTCTGCACTTTATATGTAGGTTACGATTCCTCGTTTTCCAGCTAGTACGTACATTTAAATTGTTCAACATGTTTCTGTATTAAGTTGTTGAGGATTTTTTAAACCCCTTGCATTTGGTTGGTAAGCTACCAACCAAAAGGCATTATATAGCTTTTCTGTCTTTTCTTTATAATGAATGTTCCATGGTAAGAAAATGAATAGGATAAATAGTGGTGAAAATATGTGAAGTGAAACCAGAAATAAATTTGTGAATTTTGAAAATATTTTATGATATTTTTGTATTGCTCTTATGAACTGCTATAAACTGTTCAGAGAGCTTTGGCTATTGGGTGATATAGAAATTAAATAAGTGGCAAGAACAATATGAAGTATTTGAGACATCTACCCAGAATGTTTATTAGCTGCTTACTCTTCAATTTTACATAAGTTGTCATAATGGTTTTTAAGTTTATCTTTATTTCCACCAGCTGTGTAACGGTTTATCAATCCTGTATTATTATAGGAAGAATAATTTTACTTGTAACTCAGACAAAATTAAGGCATTGTTGGTGCAATTTGGAACTTTATCCCAGGCAAAACACCTTACAGTCAACTAGAGTAAAACTAAAATAATTTGGGGGGTTTGGGGAAGAAGCCAAGGAAACGTGTGTGGCTCACAAATGGCCATAATACTGCACAGCTTTAAGACATTTAGATACTTGAGAACCTTGCTGCATGAGTGAATGATACAGAATCAGTATAAAGCTGTGTTTAGATTAACAGCAGATCAGTCAGGCCAGGTAACTGATCATTTTTCGCACAGTAAAAGGGGGCGATTGATAGTGCTGTGAATTTGGTATTGTCCAGATCTTGCATGGTGCAGAGTTCAGGAGATGGTATGATTTAAATTCTTTGAAAGTAATGCAAACACATTTCTGTTTCACCAATGCTGCTTTTACAGGGGAGTTTCTTACACAAAATACATTACAGGTATATTTTGTACTGAAACAGCCCTTGGTATTCACTGAATATTATGTAAACTCTTCTAAATACTTACTTGCTGGATGGAAATAGAACATAAATTATAACCAAAAGACTGATATTACAACAGTAGAGGGATAAACACTCACCCCCTATAATGCAATGGATTGAGGATTTTACACTGCTTTTAACACTTGAACAGGAGCGTATAGATACCACCTTCAAACTGCTATTTATATATCATTTGATATGGGAGTGCCACCATTTTTTTTCCTTCAACTGATACACTCTTAATTTGTTTTGTACAGTTTACTAAGGGCAAAATAAAAGGAAGCCTCTTGCTTCATCGTGGCCTCTTTGCATCACACATATGGGTGCTGCGCCTGCACAGTGCCTAGGCCGGAAGATTAGAAAGCTAACAGTTTTTGGTGGGAAACTCCGCTCCCCTCCCCCTTGGTAGTATAAATAGGGTCGAGTGTCCACCATTTTACTCAGTCTTTGCGACCACCGTTCACTGTGCCTCGTGCCTGTTCGTCTCTCGCTTAGATCCTCTTGTTCACTGTTCGTTTTACACTTTTTATATATCTTGTCTCTATCTTCTTGTACTCCAAGTTTTTTCTCTTAACCCGTTCTTTCTTTGAACCTTTCGTTCCTATTAATATATATATGTGTGTGTGTGTGTGTGTGTGTGTGTAAAATCTTACCCTCTGCACTGTCTTCTCTTTTCCTTTTCATGATGGCACAGCGAGCAGCATTCCACAAATGCATTGAATGCGGTTCCAAAATGTCGCCCGCGGATCCTCACGATCTATGCCTCCTCTGCCTTGGCGAGGGGCATGGAACCGACAAATGCGGCCACTGCTTGGCGTTTACCAAGCAAGCTAGGAAGAATAGGGAGAATTGTCTCTGCAAACTCCTATGGGACCAGGCTTTGATGCAATCGGACCAATTGGTCTTAAGGCCTGGCTGCTCTTTGGCCGCACCCTCTCAGCACTCCGCCCCTACTGCTGGTGCGCCTTCGAAGCGCCCTGCTCCGGCTTCTGCCGCTCCTCCACAGCTTCCTTCGTACGAAGGCGCCACCTCTATGGAGGCTCAGCAGCTACCTTCTTCCCCAGCCAAGAAACGGGAGAAGCATAAGCATGCTGGCTCAGATAAGCCCTCTGTGCACAAGAAGCCGAGGAAGGAAATGGTGGACAAGCCCACCCATAAGGGCAAAAAACCCAACCACCCCAAACATCATGGTTCGGGTTCATCAACAGCCCTGGAGGAGCCGCTTAGGGAGTCCATTTCTGATGAAGAGATCAGAGACTCCCCACCAAGGGAACGCTCTCCGACTCCAATGCCCGCAGCTGAGCCACCTGCAGATTTGCCATTGACTCCCAGACGTCGAAGCTGCTCATCTGAGCACTGAGATGAGGATTGGCCAATGTCGGGAAATGGTGTTTTCCCTGGCTGGGGTGATTACCAACCATATGCCTTTTACCCACGGGACCGTCAGTCACCATGTGGTGTAGTGGTTAAGAGCATGGGACTGGGACTCAGACGATCTGGGTTCGAGTCCCCGCTCGGCCATGGAGCCAACTGGGTGACTTTGGGCCAGTCACAGACTCTCAGCCCAACCTACCTCACAGGGTTGTTATTGTGGGGATAAGATGGAGGAGGAGATGTAAGCTGCCTTGAGCCCTTTGTAGGAAAAAGGCAGGATATAAATCAAAAAAATAAATAAAATCCACGTCGAGGCGTATGGAGAGAGGACGACCAACCTCTCCAGAAACCTCATCTTCTAGCAACCGCCACTGCTACCACGAAGACTCGAATGAGTCGGAGGTTGATTCTACGTCTCCTGATGTAGCTATCACTTCCCAAGGCCCTGCATCCCCTGATGCATGTCACCTTTGCGGAGCTCACCTCCTGCCTCATTTGGTCTCTGGAAATGAGGCCCATCATCACCCCAGTCCCAGTACTGATCATTTTTACGACATTGTCAGGGGAGAGCAGTCCGCAGCCATAACCCTTCCACTCATTACGACACTTCATTAGGCTATGGTCCAGCCCTGGGGCCAACTGGCTCAACCACAGGCCACGTCTCGTCGGTATGAGGCCATGTACCGGGTTCGGGAGGACAACATCCCATTCCTGCTCCATCACCCAAAGCCGAACTCAGTGGTGGTTGAGTCCTCCCAGGACAGGGAGTCGAGGGGTCACACGGCCCCTTGTGACAAGGAAGGGAGGAAAATCGATATGCTCATGCGTCGAGTCTATGTGGCCTCTGGGCTTGGCCTGCGCATATTGAATTATGAAGCAATGCTGGCACGTTACCAGTACTTCATAATGTAAAAGCTGGATAACGTTGCCTCCTCTCTTCCGGACCACCAAGCGGACTTGGCCAGAGTCTTCATAAAGGAGGTGATGCAGGTGGCGATACAACAACTCTCCACTGCCAGGCACCACGTGGACACTGACTCGAGGGCCCTCGTCAGTGCCATTTCTCTGCGACGCCACGCGTGGCTACAAAATTGTAATTTCCCTGATGAAATGAAGAGGAGGATTGAGGAAATGCCATTTGACAGCACTGGACTTTTCTATCAGAAGACCGACCATAAGTTGAAGTCGATCCATGAATCGTGCATGACCGCACGCCGTATGGAGCTTCCTCAGCAAAAACGTAAGTGGCAATGGCCCTGATCCTCCTACCGTCAACAGTATCAGCCTCGACAGCAGTACCAACAAAGACAGCAATGTTGAAGGCAGCAGCCACAACAACTCTTCTCCCAGGACCGTCAACGTTTCGATACCGATAAGTGCCAACGTTGACGGTCTGGGCGGACCATTCTCTCTCTCCACTCCCCACCTTCCCCTCTCCCTTTTGGGGACCGACTCCAAAGCCGACTCCCCATTTGAGAGTCCATTACATCTGATAGGTGGGTGTTGTCTATCATTCAACTTGGATATAGGATAGAATTCAGTGTCGTTCCTCCATCGAGCCGATTCGTTTTACACCCTGTTCTTTGGTACTATGTGACGAAGTCTACCAGCTACTTCGTAAAGGAGCAATTCGACAGCTCTCCCGCTCTGAGGGACTGCATGAATTCTATTCCAGATATTTTACGGTCCTGAAATGGGACGGTGGTCTTCGTCCGATCCTGGACTTGCGAAATCTTAATAGGTACATCAAACCTAAAAAGTTTCAGATGACCACTTTACAAAATATCTTTCCATTGCTGAGGAGAGAGAATTGGTTCGCCTCACTGGACTTGAAGGATGCTTACTTCCATATTTCCATTCATCCTTCTCACAGGCATTTTCTACGTTTCACTGTCGGATCCGATATATTCGAATTCAATGTTTTGTCTTTCGGCCTGGCTACTGCCCCTAGAGTCTTCATGAACTGTATAGCTCCAGTGTGCGCACACTTATGGACTCAGGACATACAAATATACCCGTATTTGGACGATTGGCTCATAGTGTCGCAGACTAGACAAGACCTTCTCTTAGCTGTACACGAGACTTGCACTCTACTTGACGATCTTGGACTTTGCATTAACCACGAGAAATCGTCCCTTACTCTCACGCAGGTCATCAACTTCATTGGTGCACGCCTCGATTCTACTCAGGAGAGAGCCTTCCTTCCTCCAAACCGTTGAGATACTCTCTGCAGCCATATTCATCGAATCCGACTACACAGAACGGTACCAGCCGTAACCGTCCAGAGACTCCTGGGACACCTGGCTGCTGCAGTTGCCATTGTTCCGTATGCCAGACTGCGTCTTCAGCCCATACAGCTGTTTTTCAACAGATCATTTCATCCACAGCGGGATTCTCCTACCAAGTTGATCTGGATCCCGCTGTCAATCCTACATACTTTGACTTGGTGGACTGTGCCAGACAACCTGTCCATTGGCGTTCCGTTCCAACCGCCTCAACCAACAACAGCCCTGTACACTGACGCGTCCCTACTTGGATGGGGTGCAGCATGTTCAGGACTTTGGGTCCAAGGGACTTGGAACAGACAAGAAACAATGAAGCATATCAACTTCCTCGAACTTCTGGCGTTTTTCAACACTCTCAAATCTTTCGAGACTGTACTATGCCGTCAAGTTGTCCAGATTGCATTGGACAACATCGCTGCTGTTTTTTACATCAACAAGCAGGGCGGGACAAAGTCACCAACTCTAGCCCATCTATCAATGGAAATTTGGAATTGGTGTATCCCAAGGGACATACTACTCCTAGCAGTTCACTTGGCAGAAACCGACAACATAGAAGCAGACACGCTGAGCAGACAGATGTCAACAACCCACGAGTGGGAGTTGGACAGACAACTTTGTGAAAACCTCTTCCATTTATGGGGTTAGCCGGACATGGACTTGTTCACTACCCGAGACAACAGGGTATGCGATGTGTATTGTTTGAGAGTGGGTATCAGATCGGGATCGACAGGGGATGCTCTCATGATTCCTTGGGACAACATGACTTTTTACCCATTCACTTCTAACGAGAGTGGCATCGAAAATAGTTCAAGACAACACCACAGGGATATTAATAACCCCGTGGTGGCCGAGACAACCTTGGTTCACCACTTTTCTTCGACTATCCAGAGGAATGTTCCTTCTGCTCCCAACAATTCCTCAGTTGTTAACACAGCAGAACGGAGCGATCTGGCATCCGGACTTGGCCTCGTTGAAGCTGACGGCCTGGCACATCAACTAAATCATGCGGCTGACTCGATACCAACGACATCTCTAGCACTGGAGAATCAGGCTCGCCGATCTGTACAAATGACTCCTCCCTTGAATTAGACAACGACTGCTTTGGTATCAACAGCTTTCAATCCAGAACTTCAAGTGATTCTCGAATCTGCTTTAAGACCATCCACTCGTCGGTCTTATGCGGCGAAATGGAAGAGATTCTCATCTTTTGCCGAACGCCATTCATTTGTTCCTGGAATGGCTTCAATTGAGAACATTTTACAATTCTTCCTGGAACTGTACCACTCAAGACTTAAACCATCACCAAGGTTTACGCAGCTGCCATATCTCAGTATCGCGGCGCTGTACAAGGCTCATCGGTCTTCTCTCAACCTCTGGTTCGGCGTTTCATTAGGGGATTACAGAATTTACATCCTTCTATTCGTCCTGCTATGCCAACATGGAGCCTTTCCGTAGTACTTCAGGCGCTTACAAAGGCTCCGTTCAAACCTCTGGCAACAGTTGACCTACGCCTTGTTTCTTGGAAAACGGCCTTCCTTATAGCAGTTACATCAGCTCGGAGAGCTCGGAGAGCTAGCGAACTTTGTGCTCTTCGAATAGACTCACTGTATTTGAATTTCCATAAGGAAAAGGTCATTCTTCGAATGGATTCCTCGTTTCTGCCTAAGGTGGCTACATTGTTCCATATGAGTCAAGAGATTGTTTTGCCTGCATTCTTTCCATCGCCTTCGAATCCGATAGAAAGGTCTCTTCACATCCTCAATGTTCGACGCTGGTTGGCTTTTTACAGATCTCGTACAGAAGCCTTCCATAGTTCTAATAAACTCTTTGTTAAGTATTCCGAGCATGACAAAGGGTCCCCAGTCACATCTCAGAGACTTTCTAAATGGATTGTTGAAACTATTGTCCTGGCATACCAGCTAGCAAAAATAGTCTTACCTGTGTTCCCAAGAGGCCATTCTACGTGAGCAGTAGCGACTTCATCTGCCTTTGCCGTGAGGGTTCCACTTCAAGATATCTGCAAAGCTGCAACATGGGCGGCCCCATGCCCTTTCGCCAAGCATTATCGGCTGGATGTCCGTGCCAGACAGGACTGCTCTTTTGGCAGAGCAGTTCTCTCATCTATTCTTCGCTGATGACACCTCCCTCCTCCGAGTCTGGTAAGCTTGCTAATCACCCATATGTGTGATGCACAGAGGCCACGACGAAGAAAAGCAGGTTGCTTACCTGTAACTGATGTTCTGCGAGTGGCCATCTGTGCATTCACACAACCCACCCACCAGCCCCACTCGGTGTCGGTGAGTGGATGAATTTTTTTCTCGGTACCATACTTTAATATTTCGGTACCATTGACGCTTACTGTCATATGCTTTAATCCTCAAGGGGGTGAATGTTCGGTCTTCACGACTGAGTAAAATGGCAGACACTCCGCCCTATTTATACCACCGAGGGGGAGGGGAGCGGAGTTTTCCCACCAAAAACTGTTAGCTTTCTAATCTTCCGGCCTAGGCACTGTGCAGGCGCAGCACCCATATGTGTGAATGCACAGATGGCCACTCGAAGAACATCAGTTACAGGTAAGCAACCTGCTTGTATTGTTAGACTGGAAGCAATGATAAATCATTGAAAAAAACAACCCACCTGCACTAACAACAATACACAGAGAAGTCTGTACTGTACTGTACCTGGTATCAGCATCTTCCCCTTGACTTTAAGTGACTCAAGTGAAGACAGTGAAAGAAGTAGGTTCTCTTCCACTGCACTTAAATCAGTACTGCTTATACTGCAAATTCTAAAAGAGCCCAAGTTCTGCTCAATAGCTGGTTTGATACTTTCAATCAGACTGCCGCAGTGATGAAGGTTGAGTTTGATATGATCAAAAGCAGAGAACAGTGCTGTTAAATTCTGAAGGTCCTGAGGAGGGAAAGAATGTACACACACTGCTTTAAATGTCAAATGTGGGACCTTCTTATGGTATTTCCGTTGGAGAAAAGGCGCTATTAAAGGGTCCGGGAGATGTCTCAAGTAAAGTCCCCTAACGCTATTGCACAAATCCACATGTTCATTTCTTTTCTGGATAAAGTCATTCATGTGTTTAAATGCAGAAGCATGTTCTTTGTTCACAACTGGAACCCCCAGCTTGGAATAACTTGTTTCAGGTATAGACAGATCAGAATGTTCCTCTTTGCCAAAAATAATTTTCTTGAATCTGCTTGGTAAGTATAAACTTTCTGGATAATCCAGAAAAAAGCGATGTATGAATTTTTTGTCTGAATCAAACAGATCTAAATAAAGTTCTTTTCCACTGAGGAACTGTAAAAGCATAGGAGCACATGCAGAAACCATATCGCTTTGATAAGCCAGCTCAGTTGCAAGTTTAAGTAAGATTTCAGTGAATTGTATATGATACTGCTTTGGGTACAAACTAAAATAAGCAATTGCAAGTTGCTGCTGCATGAGCTGAAGTGCTGAAGCCTGCTGTAAATAAGCATCATTTTCTGAGCACCATTCACATGACTCCTTCCCACTGAGTAAACTGAGCAAGTGGGAAATTATTTTGAGTACTGCTTTGACAGGAGAACTGCAAGCATATCTCAAAACATACTGGTAGCGGCCAGTGATCTTCACAAATGTGTTGATTTGCTGCAAATACTGCAGCCCTTTCTCCACATCTTCTTGCACATCTGAACCCAGGAGCTCACTCATCCTTAGACCTGCAAGAAATTCTTGGAATGAAAGGTGAAAGAATTTGTAGAGTGGCCAAAGCCTTTGGGCAGTGAACTTGCTCAGTAGACCAAACCAAAGAGCATCGTCTCCATTAACCCCAACTTCAGACAGGTCTTCCTTGCTGAATTCAAAGCAGGATTTGAAGAGCCCTTGTAAGGCTAGTTCACCACAAGCTGATAATACAGTTTTGAAATGATCACTTTTCTGTGGATATTTCAGTGAACTGTACAGTACGTAGGCTTTTAAAATTATTGTATCTATGGTCATACTGCCATTAGGAGATTGAGTCCAATATTTGGCAAGAGCAACAGCAAAGAGGGGAGTCTTTAAGATGGAATGCATTGTACTGTCTGATGACAACTGAACAAGGACTCGTTCTAAAAAGGCAGCGTTTTGAGAAAATAGTTTTCTTAACAGAAAGAGAGTGCTGGTGAGTGGAAATTCTTCAATACTGAGAATTGCACTGGCATATTGGCGGATTTCTCCAACTCTGTTAGTACGAACCGCAATAACTAAACAGTGCTTGTTCAAATAGTTCTTTAGAATAAGGTCTTGGATGACACGAGGGGCTGCATTCATTTCATCATAATCATCCAAGAGGAACAAGACTTCATTAGTTAACTGTTGGCAAATGTTCTTTAGGGAATCTTCTGTTAACAATCCTTTTAGCCCCACCACCTGATTGCAGATAAGTTCTGCCAGGCTCTGATCACGTTCTCTGCAACTCAAGGACAGATAAAAAACAAACTTAAATCTGCTGACTATGGGGCAGCATCCGGATGCCCAAAGTATGGCTGTCTTCCGAAGCAATGCAGTCTTTCCACTGCCTGCTTCCCCTTCTAAAACTGTAATGGAATGAAAGGTTTCAAAGACCTCTGGCAGCACGAGCAGCTGCAACGGCAGGTTGTTGATGTTCTTGGAGGTAATGCTGAGGTCCCCAAAGAGCAATTTTAAATCAATAGCAAACTGGCTGGAGTTCCCAAATGAAAACATTTTCCTGAACTTGATATCATCATATGCTCCTCTGAGCTTTTTCTGAAGCTCTTCATGCTCATCAAAAGCCACAACTATAAAAGGACAATGGAGAAACAAGGCAAGAGTTATTTCAAATGACTGATTGGTTAATATAAGGTCCTTCCAGGCTGAAGTGTCCTAGTCAAAGATCATTGTACAACTACTCCATGTTTTCCTATTTGTTGGGTTTATTTCTAATTTTATAAAGAGAGAACAAACCCCGGGGACCTAGGGTTTCCAAGTCAAGATGAAAACAATGTCATCTGGAACCTGACCTCCCCACAACCTGGAAATCCCCATGCTTAAGAGGCAAGGTAATTACAGGATAAATGCCTCATCCAGAAGCACCACAATGTCATGTTTTGTGGCCACACACTGGCCACATTCTCCCAGAATGGTAAGCCATGATTCTGCATGCATGAACTGCTTGGCGCCTTTCACTAACACAAGCAGCCAAACAGACAAGAAATGGTTTACTTGGCTGAGCATATTGTCTGAAGTGTGGCCCAGGTTTGTGGTGCTCTTTACAAGGCAGGATCATAAACTAGGGCTTACAATCTTGGCTTACCATTCTATGGGAACACAACCACTCACACAAACATTGGTATACTCAACGTAAATTTCCACATTTAGGAAGCAAGGCTCTTAGGACTTGCCAAAATGCAGCCTTCTTCATTTCATTCTTTTATGATGCCTTTATTTATAACAGCATTATTCCACTTGGTAGGCTGGTCTGCCTCCTACACCTCCATATGTCTCATGCTAAGCCATGCCAGGAGGCAGGCTGCTTGTCTATTGCATGAACTCATGTGCTGTAGAGGACATTATAGAATTATGAAACGTCTTTTTTCCCCGCTGTGGATTTCCCAGCTCAGAAACCCATCTCTCTGCTTCCCAGTACATTTTGTGTAAAACACAAACAGCTAAATGTGTTGGAAAATATGTGTGAGGTGGGAATAAGAAAGATGCACTTGCAGTTGGATAGTCCTGACCTGGAACAAATCTGTGATGTTTGTTTTACATGCTTGGATGAATAACAATAAACAAAAATGCACAGGTTCCTTTAATCAGATCTCACATTACCTCACTTTGATAGGAACACCCCTTTGGCAAGAGAGGCACTGGGTGAAAGCAGCAGTGGGCAAGCAAGGGATGTGTGAATTGGCCGTGATGTCCTGGGCAGTAGAATACACCATTTGGACTGTACTGTGCAGCATATTATTACAGTACACTCAGCACACACATTTGTCAGATACAAAAAGAAACAGCCTATATTTCTATTTGTTCAATTTAAAAACAGGAAATACAGTCTTAGAACATATTACATATTATTATGCTGAGACAAGACAATCGCTACAGCCATATATTTTCTTGTGTCTGATACATGCTATGAAACACTATAGCATGCTATAGATCTGTTTCTGGCCTCTTCTCTAGTAAGCCAATTCTGGAAAGCAACTGACATTTAGGCTGCAAATTTGTTTGTTTGGGTATTTTTACCCCGTCCAATACCCAGTGGGTCTCTGGACGGGTTGTCTACTTGAGAATAAAAGCAATGAAGAGTCTTGTGACACCTTAAATGCTAAGAAAATTGATTACGGCATAAGCATTAATGAACTACTTCATCAGTTGCTCACTGAGGTCAACTCAGTATTAAGTTAACAGTAGGACTGTACTGTTAAATGGCTTTGCTTGGCATGCCAATTGTTCAGAAATGAATGGGGCAAGTGCGTCACACAATGGAATTAATGATCAGCTAGAACCCAGGTTTTATGCGCGTTGGCTCTAGAGGACAATCTGAGGCAGGTGTGTGCATCTTTTCCAGTCAGGGATGTGTGGCAAAATACTTACAAGCCATTGCAGAATTGAGAGATTCTCTCTCTCCCAAATAGCTTGTGCAGTCTGCTTGCTAGGGGAAAAAAACAGAAAATGTGTGTTAATTAGAACTGTGAAATAGGAAATGCAACATCTTTCCGTTCATTCCTGGTAAATTTGCAATAGGACAATCCTATTCATGCTCACTCAGAAGGAAAACATCTGCTGTCACAGGGGCTTATCATCATCATCACATTGCCTTCATGTCCCATCTTTTTGAGAAGAACCCAAGGTGGCTCACATAGTCTTCCTCCTCTATATGTTATCCTCACAACAACCCTATACAGTGGGTTAGGCTAAGAGTGAGAGACTTAGCCCAAAGGCACCCAGTGAACATGTTGGGAAAATTCAGATAACTCCTTGCAGAAAAAGGTTGCTTATATGTGTCTTTGTGTTATAAAAATACCTGCCCCCCTTTCTCAGAAAGCAGCAAAATTCCAAGCCAGGTTACTGTTTAGTATTGCAGTTACTTTAAGAGAAAGGAACTCTGTGCTACATTCAGTTAGAAAGTTCACTGCATTGAGGCTTTTGTGCTGCTGATCTGCTAGCAGCAGCAACCTGGCCTGATTAATGCACATACAAACTGATGGCCAAGACCAGCAATGACCCATGACTGACATAACAAGCTCCTGTAATCAAACAGTATTGTATTAAATCTCCTCTGCAGAGCTCTCACATTCTTTTCACTGTGCCCCCCTTATTCCATCACCAACTGCCTATCTGCTGGGCCCATGTGACTCAGAATCTATGAAACACTCTGGATATGTTCTGGAAGCTTGTAGTTGGTCTCGCCTCTACCCAGCAGCGCTGTTGCAAGTATGGTTTCTCTGCAGAGGGTATCTGAGGGCTCAATCTAATAAACTGCTGAGGGTCATAATGAAATCCATCTCCCTGTGAATCCAAGCATACATTCCCCCAACTGGTATTTCAAGATTCTCTGACATGGCTGAGTGGGTACTGGGACCCAGATCTTCCAGGTCCCCAGTCCAACACTCTGACAATCACACCACATTGGCTTACTTCCTTTGCTAAGTTGCAACTTAAATTTCTCACTAAAAATTAAATTTTGCATTCTGAAAGATGAAATGCAGTGAAAGTTTTCAGCTGATGGGACAGTCTTCAGCACAATTGTGGGGCACAGGGAGTGATTCTGCATGTGTCCTTCAAATCTACCCTAGAAGGTTGGGGAGGCTCTCTGAAGCAGATTTTCAGGGGAGGGCTAGATTCAGTTAGAAGCAAGAGCCCCATTATCAAAGTGCAAGTCTGTTTGGATGACATTGGATTCTGCTCAACCAAGCAAAATTCTTCGGAGTTTCAACTATTCCTTTGTACCCACAGGAGAGGAAGTTTGTGCAACAGGGTAAAACTGCAGAAATGAGCAGGAAGAGGAGGGCTTGGGGAGCTTCCTTCTGCAAGCTTCACTGACATGCCTCAATCCCCAAACAACTGTTTCTGCTTCCGGTGTTGCTTGTTGAATTGTAACCCTTCCGGTGTGCAAACAGTCGTTCCCACTGATTCAGAGGCACAAAAGGAGATTGCCCTCTGAACTGCGCTTACTGATTTACTAGGATCTGGGGCGCAAAATTTGGAAAATGATATTTACTGGGCATAAAAGCTAGTCCCCTTCCACTTCAGTGGAGGTTATGCCGAAAGCAAAGTACCTATGACACTCCAACTGGGTATTGTTTTACCTTTTCATGCCATGAATCAGCCTCTGTTTGCCTTTTAGGCTTCTCAAGTGAGGTTTTCCAGTCTGGATCTGATAGCTTACAACTATAATAAATTTCAAAAGAATAGATGTATTAATTGGGATCAGCAAAAGAGTGCAACGTAATATAATCTATTTTCAACATTTAATGGGAGTTAGAATAAGAAATGTATACCGAAATGTGAATATGGGCATATATTCGTTTTTCTTTGCCTCCAGGGTTTTGTTTTTGTTTTGTAACATCAAAACTTGTTTTAAGAATATGCTTTATGTATGGCTGCCTTCGAAGACAGTTCAGAAGCAATAGCTGTTGTATTAGAGGTGGACTGGATTATGGGGAACATACAGTACATCATAGGTTCTGTGACAATGACATCTTGATGGTTTCTGAGCACTTTCTTTAAGATTTTGCATGGCTTGAAATTAATGTATCTCAGGGAGGGTTTCTCCTGCTATACTTCTCTTCTTCTGTTAAGTGTTATGGGGAAGTTTCTTTCAAACATACCTCCAATACAGACAAAAGAAGAACAAGCTTAAAGAAGCTATCATTTAAAGCATGAATTGACCTCCTATTGAGATGTAGAAATATGTCACTGCTCATTTTTAAGGGAAAACTTATGGCCATTAACTCCTTTTTCAAGTCTTTGCAAATTACTAAATCACCCTTCCTACAGATGCATTGAACTACAAAGATGATCATTCCCAGGCAGCTGGCAGTGATGTCATTAGCTGGGGATGACGGAACAGCTAGTTTGGCATATCCGGATGGCAGCTTGTTGGAGAAGAGAAATGCACTGCCTTGAACAGTTACTTACTGAGGGAAAACTTTAGCATGTTCTGTCCAAGGATCATCAGTTTCTTCCCAGTTCACTAAGCGCCCACCACAAGAAAAGCACTGCACAATGTCCTTCTCCCCTGCAAGAAGGCAATAGCACAATAACGTTGTTATTCTGGGTAAGGTATGTGTGTTTTTTCTTTCAAAACTAGGGTCCCAGTAAAGGCTGGCTTCACCCGGCCTTCAGATGAGGAACAGCGATTCCAGTTGGCTGTGGCTTCCCTTGCTGTCCGCTCATGTCCTTGGACTGTGAGGAGGGCAGGCTTCTCAGGGTGCCACTTCCGTCAGACTTCCTTGTTCCCTCTAAGCTTAGCTGCAAGCCTCAAAGCAAAGCAGCAGGTGGGTTTTCCTACCTACAGTTACTGGGTTCTGACAACGTAATAACCCACATTCACAAGCATGGGTTCACATAAACCTGGGGTGCTGTTGAAACTGGTTCAGCATGTTCTTTGAATCCAGCCATAATTACAAATAATGACAAACAGTCTGCAGTTCACCCAACAACCAATAGTGGGTTCTCTTCAAGGATAGCTTGTAGTCAATCCAGGTTGTTTTAACCCAGCCAATGGGAGAGGGTTGCACAACACCCTAAACCCCTTGGGAGTATTAACCAACACACGGACTGGAACATGGGCAGGAGCAGGTGACAGCGACACAACAAGCTGCTTGGGCATTCTGCCAGCTATCACTGGCTAGCGGCTCCTGGCCAGAGTGGCAACCTTTCAGCTTGACTATCACTTATCCAGGCCCAGACAGTTCACTAAGCCACAGGGTGCTTAATATACCCTACTACAAACCATGTCTTCTTGAGGTAATTTATAAGCCACCCTTGGGTGGTACATAAACCACACAAACCACAACACAGGGGATTCAGAGAATATGCTAAGCCACCCACCCTTATGGCTTACCATGTTGTGCAAAACCAGTCAGTGTAACATTGTGAACTTTCCCTGTGCTGTAACACAAAATATTTTGGAGTGGCTTGATGCTAAATGGGGAAATTAACCCCCATTGGCTTAATATATACTCGCTGTCTCTCCCTCTCTTTATATCTATATCTATATACATACATTCTATATACGTATAGAAAAAGAGAGAAAAAGTACACACAAAGGAATGACTCAATACAACTGCCAGCCTTTTAGGGGCTCTCCTTGGGGGAATTAGCATGGACACTGTCATGCCAAGAACCCCTGCATCAAAATCTTCCATGGCACAACTCTGACCCCAGTGTCATCTAAGGATTTTTCAGTAATAAGTATTTCAGCAACTTCTAAGGTCATACAAATCTAAGTATGCATAACTAAAGGAAAAAAAGAAGCTTTCAGTGAGAACTGAATGCAAACAAGTAAATGCTAAATGAAATGTACAGAAATGTGGCTGGCTTGCTTTCCCATTTATTTTACTCCACAGGAATGGGTTTGCCTGGACACAAAAGGCTACACAGAGCTTTTTCACCTATTGAAGTGTCTTGACACACAACATGAGTCTATGACTTGAGGAGGGTTATGACCCATCAGGGTCTACAAGTGTGTGAAGGAATAGAAGTGACTGACCTGTGTAGAAAAATCCAAATTTGGCTAGAGTAGTGGGGTCAGCATGTGCTTCTTGTGGCCAAGTTTCAAAAGATTCCATACGGAGACCTTCTTCTTCATAGATGTTTAAGTTAGGTTCTGAAGCCCCTTGTACAACAAAGACATCACACAACTGAGATAACATCAGTTAGCCAACAGGTTCAAATGAAAAGATGGCACATGATAGGCTCTTCAGCTTTATAATAAAAGATAGGGCATGTACTGTTGTTTTTAATGGTCCAGTGAGGGAAAGGATAAATTGTCCTGGTTCATAACTCTCAGCTATGGTATATTTGTTGAAATCTACCCTGACACTGGATTTGGAATAAACTCTACAAACAGCCAATGATTTGCTAATAAGCTAAAACACAAACAGAAGCCATAACTTGGTGCTGGCTTACAAACCAGGTTCAGCCAACACAATAACACGCACGCATGGACTGAGAATTACTTGAAGGTGGGTTGTCATTGAAATGGACTGTTCTTGAAATGTGGGTTATTATTTGTCTCAACCCAGGCACGTTAACAAACCAGTTGGACCCAGGTAACACAACAATCCAAGTTCAGCTACAATCTACACTCAACCCTTAAGTGTGGGCTATTGTGTTGCTTGGACCTAGAAGTCTGGGTTGTTTAAACCAAGACTTGTCATTACTGGAGCCAGGAACCATAGTTTATCCATGGCCTTCAGGCTTTAAGCCTGAAAGAGAAGTCCCCAGCAAGAGCAAGCTAAAAATAAAGCTGCTCTGAAGGATGGACAGGAGAGAAATAAGGCAGAATTAGGGAAAACAAGCTGCTGTTTGTATGATGCCTGTAAGAAAGTTCATGGTTATAGCAACAAACCACTTAAAATTAACAATGGTTTAGCATTAGATGTTACTCTCACATGCACTTCTACGCACAGGACTGAGTTACAACATGAAACACTTTTTATCTGGGTTGAGACAAACTCTTATGCAAAAAGAAATACTCTTTTAAACTTCTCAAATATTTGCGGAAAACTAGCTATAGGTTCTCAGCTTGGCTCACATGACCACTGCGGCCCACTGAGGCTGATTAGCCTGGGTGGGCTGCAGCATGCACAGCACCAAGTTGCCAATCCAAGCTCCCACTGCAAGCACCTCCTTGTTATGTGAGCAACCAGCACAGGTGGGTTGTTGGGGTGGTCAACAAGCCATCCAAAACCCATGGCTGTTCCAGTATCATAGACAGCTTGTCAAACACCCCAACTATACCCCAACAGTGTGGTGTAGTGGTTAGGAAGGTGGGCCTCAGCCATGGAGCTCACTGGGTGACTTTGGGCCAGTTGCAAATTCTCAGCCCATCCCACCTCACAGGGTTGTTGTTGTGGGGATAAGATTGAGAGGAGGAGGAGAATTATGTAAGCCACCATGAGTTTCTTGAAAGGAAAAGAGGTGGGATATAAATATAAATAAGCCACTGGGGTTCACATTTAAAGAAAAGCTAAGGTGTATTTCTCCCATGCTCAGAATATTCAAAATGGCTGCTGCTAGGCCAAAATTCACTCCCAATGGCTTCTTGTTACACGTGAACCAGGCCTTCAACTACAATAAAGCCTTTACTTACCTGTGAGTAAACTCCATGGAGCTCAATGCTCCATCTGCATAGATATGCATAGGATTATAGCCATTATTACCCTTAACACCACCAGAATATTTTAACTTAATTTAGTTTATATCCCACCTTTTTTCCTGCACAGAACCTAAGGCGATAAAGTATATATAATCCACCTTCTCCATGTTATCCTTAGAATAACAACAATGCTGGGACGTAGGTTAAGCTGAGTGAATGACTGGCCCAAAGTCAGCCAGTGAGCTGGCTTAATAGCTGAATGGGGACTAGTATCCCTGTCTTCCAAGTCCCAACCTCTAACCACTATCCCATACTACCCTCTTATAACAATTCAATTTCTTAGAGAATCTCTTATAAGAATAACATCCAGAAAACCAGTAGCAAGACCAAGGACACACATAAATTGTGAGCTCATGCAAAGTGCTTCTCTGGGTCTGGAAAGTTTTCTCTCCGAGATACAGCTCCTCATCCTGTATCAGGAAGGGCAGGTATGCTCCCTTGCAGAAGAGTCTTCTGTTCAAAGGGCCATCTTGTTCAAGTCCAGAACCGTATGAAGGGTGAACAAAGGCCTTAAATTTACCCATCAACAATTAACACCAGGATAGCTGACTGAGCAAACACAGAAATAACCTGGTCCCAATATACTCACTATGATGTGATGTTCTGTATTCCTATTTACTGTAAAATTTACTATGCTAGATCTGTGAACATAGTTCTACATTCCCATCAATATTAATCAACGTAAGCACCTTTCTCTTGTCTTTGTGGGGATGCTCTGTTTCCTCTTTTGATGATATGTGAGTGGCCACCCTACATCAAAAGCTGTTCCAGAGGGTCAAGGAGGAAACGAGCATCACCACCACTAAATCATAGGCTCTGAATTACATTTTCATTATATACCTGCATTTGAGGACAGTCTCTTCAGAAACGATCCTGCGAAGTGCTTTCCCTAAACAGAATTTAAAGGGCTTAAATAAGAATAGTTTTTAAGCATACCTCTACTTCTTATACTACTTAGATACTGCAGTGACTACAAGGGCTGCAATTCCATACAACATCCTTTTGAGTATGTTGAATTAAATCTAGGAATTATCAAGATGACTGCCTGGATCTATTTCTTAACCTGCCAGTTTTACCCAAGCATCACCATTTGAGCAGGGAGAGCTCAGCACCATTTCCTCACAGACTATCACTCAGGGGGCTGCCATTTTAAATTCCCTTAATGCCTGAGAATGATGCTACATTGGAGGGAATTGTGGGAAATTAAAATGGTGATCAGCCAGCAACTGATGAAAGGTTTGCTACTGGGAAGGATATTACTATAAGGGATTCCAGCAGCATAAGATAGTGTCCAGCAGAAGTAATATGTTAAAAGCCCACCTCAAACCTGGATCCAACCCTACCATCAGTAACATTTGCCTTTCAAACGGACACATTCTGTATCAAATAAGGTACTTGGTACTTTCCTTTGCACGCTTGGCAATAACTGAAGCGTGTATTAGCTAATTCTCAATATTTTCAATTCTTCTAGAATTGCAGCCTGGTTTGAATCTTCAGTACAACACCTGATTACAAATATGTCGGGAACACAGTTGCTTCAAATCAAATTAATTAAATTAAGGTATTTAATTGTACAGCTGAGATTTAATTTGGCATTATTTGCAAATTCCATCAGATCTTTTTTTAAAACAGAATTAAAAAAGAATAAAGACAAAAGCAAATTACCGTAACACCAACAAATCCACAATAATTTTGAATATACTCTTTAATTTCATCACTGGACTTCTTCTGTTGAAGAAATTCACATCTATAAAATAATCCATAAAATATTATGGGCAACTACTTTATACATGGTAAACAGATAGAGTTCTTGTATTAGTATTAGCAGTTAACTGGATCTCAGTTTAAAGTCTTCTCTCCCCAAAAAATTAATGTCAGTTATTTGAATTCCATATAAGTTTTAATCAAAGAAGTACTCCCTCCCCCATTATTGCCTCTCAGTAAATATGGGCTGGGTTTGCAATAAGCAACCCTGTATGGTTACCATGGTTCATGTTTATTTACCATAATCTACCCAACAGATGATGAAGTAGTTTCTACATTATTGTGGTTTCCATCCTTAGCAATCCCACTGTTGGCATGTATTGCATCAGCTGCTGCACTTGGAATTCAATCCCAAGTCTTTGCCTATTTTCTCTGCCTCTTCCTCATTGGTTTATGCATAGAGGCTAGATGGATGGAGTGGCTCCTACACTTGCTGCTCTTTCTAGAGGACTCTATGGTAGTTGCATATCAGGAACATAGAAACCATGAGCTTGGGTTCAGTCAACATAACAAGTCAGGTGGTACAAGAGAAACCATAAGACAAAGGGAAGTTTCTTATCTTGGTTTCTAAAGACCAAACTTACCATGGTGAAATATCATGACAATGTTCAGACATGACAGACCAACAGTGATAAAAAAGGCTTGTCATGTTGTCTGAATCCAGCCATGTTGTCTAAGTCTAAACCTAAGTCTAAAGCCTAAACCTAACCCCAACCCTCCATGCTCATAAGTCCTTAAACTCAGAGGTTTAGTAGCATCCTATGATGAACAGAAGCAAGCTTCATCTTCCAGGCATCAAACTCTGCATTTTTGCTAGATGATTTTCTTTTTGCTGTTTAGTGAGATCATTTTGGAGTGGGAAAGAGGAAGAATGGAGAAGCCTCGGGATACTTCATATCTTGGCCCCCAAGGCTTCTTCTCTTTAGCCCTCTCTATGGTCACATACCCAACCTCAGGAAGGCAGAGAGTGCAAATCTTTCCAGAGAGGGAGGGGAGGTGCTTTAGTTGCCAGCTGCAAGTGTGGAGCACTGTCATGGCCTTGGAGTTGGGAATCTGACTCATCCTATGGCACTCAGAGCCCTAGAGATTGTGCTGTCCTCTTGAACACAACACCACAGTAGTCTGTCCTAAAGGAGACACTAGAGTAACTTTCTGCTTGTCTCTGTGGTGTGTACATATTGTATAGAGCAGGTGCCCAGGAGTCAGTAAACCCTCCTAGGATCCCATTTCATCACCCCAGGTTTTCCAGTTGCCCATGACCCCTTTTCCTGGCCCTTTCCCCCAACTGCCAATTCTATGGTCGTTTCTTCGCTTTTCTGCAGTCTCTCCTTTCTTAAAGGCTGGCATATCTTTCCCAGGGCTTAGGCAGCAAGAACTTTAAGCTGCACTGTACTAGTGATTTTGGCATTCTTGGCTCCATCCCTGTTGTCTTTGACTCAACCTCTCTGTCTTTGGCTCTGCCCTGCAGTGAAATGTGACCCAAGAGCATGTCTGAAATGGAATTCAGCCCTCAGTCTCAAAGTTTCCCCACCCCTGGGGTAGAGCAATGACATGGGGTTAGCTGGCTGTGATGGGATTGGCACATTCTGTCACGGCCAATGTGGAGGTATCAGTGGCAAGCAATCTCATGATATGGGCACATCTGTTGGTTTTTCTTTCCATGGTTCTGGTGGTACATTTGCATGGCCCCAGTATAGGAATGCTCACATGAACAGACCACAGGACTGCCGTGCCAGTTACTCACTTAGGAAACCATTTTGCATGTTCTTTCCAAGGATCATCGCCTTCTTCCCAATTTCCCAAACTTCCAGCACAGGCAAAGCATTGAACTGTGTCTTTTATACCTGCATGTAATAAAACCACACCTTTTCAGGTACCTCGACATGCCTTTGTGCTTTTGAACTAGCCTGTGAAAAGGCAAAGCAATGCAATAACAAGAACTTTAAGCAACCTTTATTGGTGGCTTGAGGTCACATAATATCAGGCTTATTGTTATTCTTATAACCATATGTATATGCTGTCCTCCTACCACATGGCACTTGGAACACATTGCAAAACACAATAAAATTCTTTTTATATCCAAAGGACTTACATAAAAAATAAAAGTATATTAAAATATGAAGCTATGTTACTAAAAAGAAAAGGGGGAGGAATATGTACTAAGGAACCGGGGTGTATTCCAAGCACTGCCCACAGAGCAAAAAAGAACATTCTAATCTGCTTTTTATGGTCCAGAGCAAAGCTAAACATGCAGAAGAGAGATTTCCTATTATGGGGCCAACAGTAGCAAAAGCACAATCTTGAGTTACCATTAAAGGGCAGTAAACTGCAATAATTTGGATCATTATGGGTCAACATTTGATTCTCCTGCTTCATGATCCAAAGTGACTTGGACATCTTGTCACATGTAATATCCACTTCAAATCACATGTTGTGGATTAACATCACAACAAAACAATTCATTGCCAAGCAGATATATCCTATTATAGCAAATGGCTATTAACTTTCAGAAAGCTATACTTATTAGGCATTGCAAAGAAGAATGATTAAAATGTTGTGGTTTGCCTTTAGGGATCCTTAGAAAATAAAGAAGCATATAAACAATAAATAACAGAGGCAATCATTTTAGGGATCAGAACATCCTTTTTGTTCAGGGTAAATATCCTTTGAATTTACCTGTGAAGAAAAATCCAGCGTCGGCTAGCAAAGCGGGCTGGACCTCTCCGACATAGAATGGCCAACCAGTGAAGGAGTCAAGTCTTTTCTCCACCTCTTTGTATCCCTTTGTGACTTCTGAGGGACTATTTTCTGGATTCTGAACACGCACCTCAAACTTGGGGATGTTGCCAACTTCCTTCCCTAAAATAAATTCACAGTGGGGCGAATATTTCTTGTGGCTTTCATGAGGAGACCTTCTGAAGCTCCTTGCAAGCAAAACTAACCCACAGCAAAAACACTGTATTGCAGTCTTAACACCAGTGTGATAGAAGCCATTTGTAGCCATCTCAGAGGGAGCCCAAGTTGAATTGAAATTATCAGGTGGTGTAGACAAGAAGGTTTTTAGCCTTTTGGCTTCACTTCTCATTGTGGAATTAAACCCTCTCTGAAGTTGCTTGCGGATTTTCCGGTATTCCTCTTCCATTTCTTCTGCCATCATGTGAAAATCAAAATTCAGATTCAGATTAGAAGCTTTTAGGTAAGCAGGATCCAGCTCAAAAATGTCACTGCCAGGTCCTTCTTCAGAAGTCTCCTGGGTAGCCATTCTGTTCAAAATAAAGAGCAAAGCAGAGTGCTCTGAACTTGCATTCTACTTGCATATAGCATTAATAGCATTTACATTCCCAGCTTTATTTCAAGGACCAAAACACCTGTGGGCTTGGAACACAACTTGGCAGCCTTTATGAGATTAGGAGTGGTTAGTACCTGGATGGGAAACTCCCAAGGATTCTCTGTATTAAACAACTTGAGTTCTGTTGAATAGGATTGAATTGTTAATGTGATTTATCCTCTTCACAATCAAGTGAGGTAAATTCACCTTGTAGGCAGGGCTGTTAACTGACCTTTTCCTAAACTATGTCCAATGCTATATCCACCAGATAGATAGGCTCTTTAGCACTATATACCTTTTATCTTTCATTCTCTTTATCCCAAACAAGAATCAAGATAGTACTATATCAATGCATGCTTTTCCACTATCCATCCTAGCATTAAGTATAAATATTTATTCTATGATGTATTAGATTCTGTATAGCACTGAAAACACGAGAGACCACAGTCATCTTGTCCTGTAGCTCTTTCTGTAGATCATTTTGTAGATCATTTGTAGATCTGATTCATCAAACTTCATTTAGCCAAATGAAAGTTACTGCATACCTCAACCTGAATGGTTCCCTCTGAATTTTTATTCCTGGAAAATGAGTCCAAGAAAAGATACTATCTCTAGTCCTTAAATCCACATGCATTGTACATTATAATCATGAACTGGGGCAATTCTTTGGTTACTAAACAGAACCTACGTAGATGGCCACAGGATAATTTACAATCCCAGTTGCAACTTCATAAACTTGTTCTAAGGTTGAAGCTGGAATTCTGAACTTTCCCTACAAGCTCACAGCTTGTGCTGAAAGAACTGGGCTGGCTGCAGCTCCAGGGTCACAAGATCAACATTAGAAATGGCTATGAGAGGAGATGACAGACACCAACAGCATACAGGCTCCTCTTCTCCTCTTCCTTCACTCCTCCTCCTCCTTTGAGATGCTACACTTACACAGACGAAATCCCACCATACACAGGATGCCTGTGATCCTCTAGGTTTGGAAGTGTGCGAGCAGCCTTGTTGGACTTCACCCATAAGCTTTTAGGAACACAGAAGCCACACCTTCCCCCTACCATCTAAAAATCTGGTAGGTGCTGTCACTACTTATCATCCTATAAGCACTGTGTACAAAAATATCTTTAAATCTGCAGCCTGGATCCAGACTCTAGATATTTGTGTAATACCAACAAAACAATACAGGACCCAAACCAAAGAAGCATCATCATGGACAGATTGCCCAGTCAAAAAGCCCAGAAGCTACTGGCACGGAAGGGCGACACAAAGATTTTCACCACACACTGGCTTGTCAAGCCTGAAAGGGCTAAACACCACTGTGGGGAACACAGGAGAGGGGAGTGGCGATGTCCTTCAGGAGCCAGGATGGCAACACTGACCACCAAGGCAGCAAGCTTCTTGGAGACTCACTGCAGTGGCTGAGAGGAGTGGAAACCCCTGTTGCACTGGAAGAAATGCTTCCATGGTCACCAATGGAAACCCCATTAAACTTCAGTAGTATAAACATAAGACAAGACACCATTCCTCCCACTACTCCTCAGGTCACATGATTAATCTTAAATCCCTTGTTGAGGTAATCAGTTGACAATGTTGAGGATGCAGTTCACCAAAGGAGCAAATGGGGCAGGAAGGTTAAAGGCAAAGCACTGAAGCACATGAAAGAGAAACTGACAGAGAAAAACTGTGGTAAAATACAAAGAATACGAATATTCCTTCTCCTAAGTCTTATTGCACCCTCCAACTTTTTGAACACTATACTTATTAACAATAAGTGAATTGTTCAGATGGCATGAGACATCTGCAATGTAGTCAGATAAATCAATCCCAGAAAGTACAGCTGCACAACTACTATTTATTGTATAACTGGTAACTCAAAACCTAGGCAACAGATTGGGGGAAAACCCACATATTACATTTCCCAGTCTTTTTGAACCTGTGAACCCACTGGGGATTTTGAGAAATTGCTGTGAGGACCGCCACAAAATCTCTCCCACAGATGATGACTAGTCGCATAGCAGCTGCCATGGGAGCCTGGATAGTCAAATGGGAGCTGAAGAGGACTGGGGTGGGGCTGAGGAGAATGTTAGGGAGAGAAATAGGAAAACTAGGGGCTTGTGGGGAGAAATAGAAAGACAAAGGCATATATGGCAGAAAGGAAAATAGAAGCTAGACAGGAAGAGAATGGGGCAGTGAAGGAATGGGTCTTGTAGTGATGTGGCATGACATAAAATACAGGGAAATAAACAGACTAGAGACTATGATTGGGGAGAGATTAAGGGGACAGCTCTGTGTGGTAGAAAGGCTGGCAGGGCCAGAAAGCAGTTCTTTCCTCCTCTGCCTGTCTGCCAGTAGTTGATCTGCAACAGGTGCTGGATGAGAAACAAGAATTTTTTTAAAGTTTTATTTAGAAATATGTTTTTGTAGGGGGTAAGGAATGGAGATCTTCACTGGAGCTGTTGGAAGACCCTATGGGCACTGTGTTAGGGGCCCCTGCATTACATTACTGGAGACACACAGGTAATTGTTCCATTTAGGACTGAGGCTTACCTTTTTCCAGGTTCCTGATCAGATTACAACTTGCTATCAAAAGGAGTTGCCTTAGAAATAACCTTCCAACCTTCTTAGCAAAGAAAGAACTGAGAACTCGTCTGTTGCAAGAAGCAAGAAAAACGAAACTTTTGGAGGAAGGAAATCGTCTGTGCAATGCAAAGGGAAGAGCATAGGAGTAACTTTCACTTCCAATACTGGCTGTCTACTAAGCATTGCAGCATAGGGAAGTTCCATTATTGCTTTTTCAGGGAACCTGCCATCACAAGGAACAGAAGTGATATTTTCAAACAGAGAAATGAGATTAAAAGAAGTGTGATTCAGATCTGAATTAGTTTTTTTCCACCCTTTACTTTTTTCTGGTCACCTATTCTTCCAAGTTTATCTTCTTTAAAGCTTATTCTAGTCCATTCTTCCCCACTTTTAGAGAAGACTGTCTGAAGAAGAGAATGGTTCTGGCATTGGTTTGCCCAAGAAACAGGAACAGGCAGCCTTTAGGGTAAAGGTGATGAACATTTTCATAGTGGGAATCAAATACCAATTTGGGAACATTCTTGTGAACACATATTCTAGCCCTGGGCTCTTAGACACAGGGAATAGTGCCAAGGAATGTGGATGAAGCCAAAGCAAAGTGGGCAGCCCAGATGTAATTCATATCAACTTGGACCTTTTCCCCTCAAGGATACAAGCCACAGCCCAACTCCATCCAAGTGTATGCAGGAAAAAGCTTCACTATATTTTTTCAAACATAAAAAATACAGCTCACTTCTAAGTTTAAAGATATTTAAAGTGCTTGATTGGAGATTAGAACTGGGGTGGGGGGGCGGGGAGGTCCTTAACAGAGTTGGATGGAAAGGGGCCAAAGTTTGCAAAAGCTTATGGGCCAGGTACAAAATACTCGTAAGCCAGACTGTAAGTTCTCCCATTCTGTTGAAGGGCATGTTTATGCCAGTCCTAGCAGTCTTCTATCTGTAGTGTTCACAAATGCTGCTCACACCATTTTGTAAGCATTTGAGGCACAGTCCTAAAACATTCAGTTGCCAGAAGTCCTTTTGAGAAACCAAAATCTAAAACTGTGCTTAGTAATGTGAAACAACCCACACAGTTTTATCAAAACAAATGTAGTCATGCTGGTCCATGAGAAAAAAAATCCAAAATTCAGAGTTGGGTAATATATTTATTAAACCACCCAGAATGCCACAATATTGTGCAAGCTTTTGACTTCTCTGGAGCTCTTCCTCAAACTACTTGGTTCCTTTGTGTGCCACCCCAACTGAGGCAGTGCATGAAGGCAATTCACTTGGCAGCTGCTTGGAGAAGTAGATGCTATCAGGCTTCAGGGGAGTTCCTGTCCTCCCAGTGTCGTCCAGCCTGTCAGATTGGTCCAGGGGAGCAATTTAGGCACCAAATCAAAAACGGTTCCTCATCTGCAAGCTAGTGGTTGTGCATTTTTGTGGTCCTTCTGTCTATATAAGCTTCCTCCTGATGATCTAATTTTAATTCAGAAAAAAGTCATTTTGGCTGTGAGGAATGATAGGGACAGTATTTTGGACATGCTCAAATACTGGAGAGTCCAGTGCTTCAGGTGACTGGAAGTATGATTTTTGTGCCTAGGTACCACATCTGCTCTTCTTTGCTCCTTTATACCTCTCCACATCACCCTTCCTTCTTTGTCCTCTGTCAGCCAGCTTTTAGTGAAAGAGAATCCAACTGCAACCAGAAGCATTTTGCTAAACTTGTAACTCACTCACAAAACCTGGAACACCATCAAAGAGGCAGAAATGTGGATTTTTAAAAAATAGCTTTAGTGTGAAAAGTGCTTTGTAATCTTTGACTATTGTGCTTTCACACAGTGCCGTGTGTCAAAAGAGCTTTGTGCCCCCATTTTTCAGACAAAAGTTCCCCTGTGCTACACACCTAAATAGTTTTAAAACTATTCCAAAAGAGGTTAATATCTCATAGGGATCTTCTATCAAAAGGGGTTGGGGAAGTATATGTTCTCCCCTTTCAACACACCAGAGAGCAATATGTATTTTAGGAAAAATGTAGAACCTTAAGTTATAAGGCTTTCTTGCCTCAGGGTATAACACACACACACACACACACACACACACACACACACACACACACACTCAAACTCACTTTTCCCCAAGCATTTGATCTGCCTGTCAAAAATATACTGATTCAGAGGTAGAAATACAACTCTTTGCCTCAGCAATAAGGAGCAGACCATATACTCTACGCAGTGCTTGCTTCTGACTACTGAAGCTGAAAAACAGTTGACTTTAACTTAAAACTTCCTTAAGTCTGTAAACATTCCTACAGGAAAACGTGCAAACCCTAAACCTATTTACTGAAAGTGGGATTTTTAGCTACCTGGCATCCATCTCAAACTCGAACCACACTGAATAGAACAGAGGAGCAGCTTCATCATGAAAACCAAGATTCTGAGGGGGCATCAAAGCGGGAGTTTGCATCTGTTCAGATCCTCTATATCAGCAGTTCCCAAACTTTTTCAGGCATGGAACCTTCCTGGATATTTTTTTTCCCACAGAATCCTAACTCTGTCCCTGATTTTTACTAAGCATTGTGAACCCACAAGGTTCTTTTATCTGTTCCTATTGCCCAAGTGCTTTGCATAACTTAGTCAGTTTAGAAATAAAGAGAAAACATTTTAAATATAACAAATAAAGCAATTATATGGAAAAATCCCAAATGAATTCTTTCAATTATTCCAATCATAATTTCAATTATAATGGAGTCCCAGGAACCAAATGATGTGATGCATTTCCTTGTTTGGTAGTTGGACGATAAAATAGTTGGTCTCATGTGGTTTCATTTTAAAATCCTTTTTAAATTTGATTTTTGAGATTTTTCGCAGAACCCCTAAGGAACCACTGCTTTACATGATATTGCTGACTTTAATTAAACTTATTTCTATGTAAGTGTGCTTTAACCTTTTCAAAGAGGCAGTCTTTTAGAATATATATATTAAAACAAGACTCATAATTTTAGTTTAGTGCTAGTTTAACACTTTAAGAGACACAAATTGGCACATCATTCAATTCCAATACAAATGAAACATTTTTCAAAAAGTTAAGATACGAGTAACTGTGTACACATTTCTATATTACAGAACAGGTACAAAAATAATATTTATATAAGCATGCAGCTAGGTGTTCTCCCTCCTTTTTAACCAATTTTGCCTAAGGCCTTCACTGAACAGTTGACCTGAATTCTCTGTCCACAGGAATGTAACAAGAAGTGTTGGTCAGTGGGTGGCATCACACACAGGGAGGAGCTGGGTGCTTGTGAATGCAACCTGGGCAGCAGTGCAGAATATCATGAGCAAAAAGATCACATTCTACACAAAACACACTTTGGCAGACTTTACAAATATAGACCTGGGGAAAAAAAGAGTTGAAATTTAAAAGTTGAATCACAACAGATAATAGCACTAATTACTGCTTCATATATACACACACACACACCATAGAACATTGCACATTAAGTTCATGTGATACTCAGCCAGCGTGCACAAGGCAAGGCTGATGCGCACAAGTGACAGGGCCCTCAGTAGCAATCCCAAAACTGTGCAATGCCTGACTTTCCCTTTGCCTGTTCTGTACCTTCTCCTTGTAACTGAGATTGTAATTAGATTACGTCTTTCAGAGCAGGTTGCCTAGTCTGCCTACGATCAGACTGAAAAATCTAAACCAAGTATTGCTTTCCAAAACAGATTTGCATGTAAATGGGTGCATGTGCACATGTGTGCATACCCTTTTTGTCCAATTCTCTTCTGCAAAAGCAAGCAGAAAGAGGGAAGCAGAAGAATGGTAGCAAGCAAGCAAATGCAGGAGTTTCACAGTTGTGCAGGTATCCTCCTCCCTAAGCATGTATGTGTCTGCCTCCTGTCTCTCCTATGAACAAAACAGTCCCCAGAAATCACATGAGTATTATACCAGACAGTTTAAAACAAATGGTGAGGTGGCAGAATGGGGCACAGCAAATGGAACAGCAGCACTAGTGGTACTTACATCTGACCCCCAACCATAGTACTATTCACTTGGTCCCATTTAGCCACCTTCTCAGGGTTATTTTTTGCAACTGTCAGGGAACTACCTTAACCACAATGGTAAGTGGTTGAAAGAGGACAGTAAAATTAATATCATCCCTTTCTGGACTACCTGAAGGCTTAGGGAGGTGTTGAAAATGGAGCAGACACTCAGAACTGTCAGTTTAATATTTAAAAGCCAGAAGATCACATTGATAGGGAAAGATATTTTTGCGTTCCCCTTTGGAGCATGTACCTGCTCACAGCCACTTTCATCTCTTAGGCAGAATGGTCTCCTTAGAAATGCTGTTAGAATGGCTACAGGGACTCTGGTCTAGGTAGAAGGGAAGCTGCTGGAGTCCAGATAAAAGAACGCTAAAGCCTACAGTTTGGAAGCTCCTATCCCCAGGACTAGATTGTGTCAACTTTTTAAATGCCAGACTCTGCTAGGAAGCAAGTTGGGCTGGCCTAGGTATATACCGCATTTCGGTGTATTTGTTGTGGAAGTAGCTTATCTAGTTTGAAATATGCAACTGAGTAAAACCTAGTGTCTTTATAAACTTCTATGATTTCTGGTTAACTAATAGATGATGCAATCAGAAAAATATATTGATGTTTTTAACCAAACGAGCATATCACATATTAATGTGAATGTTACTGTATTACCAAAACCTCTTCTACATACACGATGAATCAACGGGCTGATGCATTAATCAGCTCATATCCCCATTTTTTGAGTCTTCAGTGAGGCATTCCCAAAGACTATTTGCAAGAAAAGAAAACCAATTTGATGCAGAGTTTATAGGCTAAATATCCAAAACTTACATGTTGATCTCTGATTTCTCCTTGGCATCCTTGACAATAGCTATTCAATGAGAATATTTAAAAAATATCTATTAGTGAAACTACTAAATATGACCCATGTTAACCCTTTAATTCCTATATTCTAAGTATCTGTAATCAAAATAATACATACTGTTTCCCTGTTTATCAGTGCCTCCCCTTCCTCTGCTGACCCTGCTTTGTGGAATTACATACTGCATATCCTCTGAGCAAAATCTGATCTCTTGTCATTTGTGTCTTGTACATGGGTGATATTATGTAAACACAACAACCACCACTGATCTTGTCACATCCATAAGGTGCTAACTGCTTTAAGCACAGGATATGATATCATCAGAACCAGTACTCAAATGCCAGGTATATGTTTCAGCTATGATAACCACCACCTTCAATAAGGATTCATGATGCACAAATAAACACTCAATAGTCCAAAATGTAAACCACATATATTAGAAGGTTTCTTAGGGATTCTTTCTCACTTTGTGCCTACACAAGAAAGTTCTTACATGATGGGCTCTTCGACAAGATTATGAATGGTTTACATTTTGGACTATTGAGTGTTTATTTGTGCATCATGAATCCTTATTGAAGGTGGTGGTTATCATAGCTGAAACATATACCTGTCATTTGTGTCTTGTACATGGGTGATATTATGTAAACACAACAACCACCACTGATCTTGTCACATCCATAAGGTGCTAACTGCTTTAAGCACAGGATATGATATCATCAGAACCAGTACTCAAATGCCAGGTATATGTTTCAGCTATGATAACCACCACCTTCAAT